ACACCCACACCCTCAAGATGGTGATGTAAATCAAGTTTTATTAATTAACAGAGTGAAACTAGTTATTGTATAACAATAGCAATTGATATTATATATATTAGATACTTGAGACTGTGAATATTCTATTTTGGTGTGTGTATAAGACCCACATCCTTACCCTCAAATTATAAGAAAACGCTTTCATCCTCTTGGAATAACTGACATTCTGTGTTCTGTACTGCTTGAACTGGAATGAAATTTGTTTTTCGTTTTTGTTCTTAATTGCTCTTGGTGACTCGACTGATGGAAAATTGTTATCTGAAAAAGCCGACCTGAACGTATTTGAACCATGCTGGATTAAAGGGCATTTTTCAGTAAAAGATTTGATTCGAACCAATCAGTGGCTGAAATAGTTGTTAGTTGGTTAAGTTCTATTTTCTCTCATTCTTCTATGCCTAATTATGAGATTGATGAAATTCAACTTTTCGAGGATTTTCCAGAACCTTTTTTTTCTGCTATTCTTTTTTTACTCATATGCACTATTAGAATCTAAGAATCACAATTTTTTGCATGATAAAAAACAATCGACATTCTTTTTATCATTCCGACTTTCAAGATATTATCTTATCGTTTTTTTACATTTTTATGAACGCATATTTAGTTCTTGTCATCTTTTAAATTAATAACTATCGTATTTCTTTTTTTAAATAAAAAAACTCAGTTGAAAAGAATGTGTTTAGTAATACTATAATTTTCTGATAAACCTATAAAAAGATTGTCCTTTATATAAAGCCACTTCCACTAGGCATTGATTACTATTATAAACTATAATCTTGTCTAATAAGATTATCTCCATAAATCCGATTTTTGGTCTAGTCATGTTTTGTTATATGAAATAGATATTTTCATCTTGTTATGCAAAAGAAATAAAATTCATTATTATTTTACGATTATTTTATTTACAATTACGAAAACTAAGCTAACATTTAAACAACACTAATAAAGTTTTTGTCTTTCTTTTTTTTATACAATAAATCAAGCGAGTGCTGTTGTATGTGTAACACGTCGTTGATTTAAATTGGGATGAGGTTTAGGTAGAATAAAAGCAAATACTTGTCGTAATTCTTTTCGGAATGCACTTGATGTAAGAAAAACAAAAAATGATGCTGTACTGTAAAAATTCAAAAGAAAACTAGATGTCATAAATAAAACGAAATTTTCAATGGCTGTTCGTTGCATTGTTTTTGATCCACCAATAATTAAAACAATTGCATTATATAATGTATTGAGTGGATAAGCTATAGTAAAACACATATAAACAACAATTTGTACAAATAACATTTTGCTTAATTGTCGATCACGTTGTTGTGTACGTATTTTTTCTGTATTTTGAGTATGTTTTTCTTCTGTTGGAATACTAATAGGACGTACATTACGTTTCATTTGTTGTAAATTTTTAAAAGCTAATAAACTAAATATAATCATAATACTTGTTGGAAGTATAGCAGCAACAAAACAAATATAAATTGAATGATAAAGAGCTGCTACACCTGCCCACATTGAACATTTTCCATTTAAAATTGTTGTTGTTAAAGGAATATGTAATGGAATTATAAACCAAATAATTGGAACAATAAGAATAATTCGTATGACAATTTTTGTTCGACATAATTCACGTATTCGAGCATTTCGTGATGATTGTGCATAACATGCAACACAAGCTAATGATAGATAAGCTCGTGAAATAACTAATAAAGCATTTCGAATATATAATCGAAGTTTACAATAGATTAAATTTGAATTTTCCAGTGGTGTATTATAAAGTGAGTTAATTGTTGGAATAATAAAATATATCATTACAATAATATTAGCTAGAGAAGCAGCAGCAAATAAAACTGAACATGGATTTGAACGTAATCGTTTTCGAAGAAATACAAGACAATTTAATATATTACCAAATACTCCAATAACAAGGAGTCCTCCTAATATATTTGTAAGATAATATTGAATAAGTGCAAGTGTAGTAATCACGGACATGTTTAATTTTTTTGATTAAATTCAAAGAATGTAGAGAAAAAAAATTTTAATGTAAAGTGTAATGTACTGCTGGTTGAAGGTGTATATATATATATATATACGCTCTGATATCTTTACACAGCGGGTTTCAAAAGAGAGATAAAAATCGAGGAGAATGCTAGAAAAACTAATGATAATGTTATTAGAATGGAAAAACAATCTATGTTCTATAATTATATATTACTCGTAGTAATACAAAGGATTAAATCTTCACGTATATGTTAAGTTAAGCTTCTTACTAGATCCTGCGGGAATTTTTCTGAGTTCGAATGTCTCTTCTAGGTACTTTTCAAATTCTAGATATTTTTTATTTTAATCATATTTTGCATATGTATTTTATATTCCAAAAATTTATTAGCGCTTGGAATGACGGTTCATTTCTTGTTGTATTAATAAAAGTATTTTCATCGTATGCACGAGTTGTTGCTTTATTAAAACATATTCAGTGACAATTTAGAGCAGTAATGAATTTAAAATTTTAACAATGAAAAGAAGCGATCATATAAATAACAGTCAATTACAGGGTAATAGAGTTCGTTTCTGCTAGAAAAACTCGCAAAAATTATTTTAAAATAGAACAAGCAATGAACCATGAATTCCGTCGTATTAAATGCGACATTGATTTTGGATACACCCATTAATACTTTAATAAAAAATAATACGTAAAAATCTTTTCAAACTGTTGACACTTACATCTGAGAACTATAGTTATTAGTTATGAATGATATCGGTGACTTAGTTCTCATAGAAACATACTTTTTTTAAATAGCTTCTGCAATATTATTCACATTCGTTGATCATATCTAGATCTTTAATTTGTATAAAAAGAGTTTTAAGGTAATTAGAACGTAGTTATATAGAATATATAAATAGTAATAAGGTCATACAAATTTGTTTTTTTCGAACTTTAAGATTATATATTTATTTTGAATGAATGTGACTTCTAAGTACTAACAAATTATAATGTAAGAAAACGGAAGTGGATGTCAGGAATATGATTTTATTTAAAATATTCTTATAGTTCGAATTAAAACTAAAAATTATTTCTTTAAGATATAGATTCAGAATTTTTTTTCTACGTAGAATATTATCATCGTAATAACAGTATTAAAAAAAGCTAACCAAAAAACATGACATCAATTGAAAAACAAACTCTATTATTTAAGAAGTATTAGTTTCTATCTAATCGAGGTATAATGTTCTTTTTTTTAATTATGGGACATAAAATACGAAACATTGAAGAAAAATCCTATCAATATGTGTTCCTGTCAACTCAATAAATGCAAAGAATGATTATAAAATAACCAAATTTTATTATTCATGATCACAAAATAATATCGTTTACATAGAATATTGTTTCGCATTTAAAAAAAAATTGAACTTTGGCTACATTAAAATAATGATCAGAATATGCTTTATTTAAATATGACATTTCTTTAAAATTGAAGAGATCTATAATAAATCGAAAATAACCCCTGCGAATTGCTCCTTTTCTAAAGAAACAAAAACAGTACAGGATGTGACATTTTCTTTCCATTATAACTAATTAACATAATTTTCAACACAATATTCTTTTCCTTACGTACCTATATTCAAATTCTTCAAGTACAATCTAATGAGGGTCATAAACTCCTAATGACTTTCCACATTGTATACGCTTATATTATACTTCTATCAGTTTATGAACAGTTTTTATTATGAAATTTATCAAATTGTACGAATAAATATGTTATTTATTATTATGTGTTCTCGAAAACATGATAGAATCTATAGCAAATTTTAAGCTTATTAACAAGATGACAAGAATTATACATCTGATTAAATCATAATAAAAGTTACTTGAGATAAATTATACAGCATTCCTCATTACGGATCAAGTTTTCGTGTCTATTTCAATATTTTTCATACAAAATCTAGAAGAATATTCGAATATTTGTGACTGAATATCACTTCTTATTCATTTGCTAATAATTATCGAGATTCTGTTTATAGTTTTATCTTCGTCCGAAGAAGTTTTTGTACAGGTTTGTTCTTACACATCATTGAACTGGATGTTAAAGTTAGAGTATCACGTCTACATACAATTTTTTAATAATCTGAGTGAAAAGAAGGCGAATGTATTTTGTCATTTGGGTTTTCGTTATTATTGATATAACTGTTCTTCATCTTTTCTTTTTGTTACTTATCATACATCATCAATATTTTCTTGTATCACTACAAGTTCGGGATGCAACAATATCAATATCTCAATACCGTATTAGTACTGTTACATCCTTCCCTGTCGAATAGTACTCGATACAGTAGCAACTGTTTACGATCATCAGATTGATAAAGATAAATGAAAATTGATAATTTTTAAATAAGAGAAAACTAAGAACAACATGTGAATAACGTTCTTCTTTCATAACATGTAGATATGAATATCTCAAAAAGAATACTTGATTAGAATTCATTTTATTTCATAGGATGTGTAATTCTGGCAGATGTTTATACTTTTCACTGCAGTACTAATCTTTGAGATCCTTATGATCTTGACTTATTTATTCTCGAACGTCACGTTGTTAAAACGTCATTCTATTATTTACATGGGGTTTGGTTTTGGATCCCGAAATAGTGTTGAAATAAAATTTATTTCAATAGAATTAAAAATATATTTGGCATATATAATATTTTTCCTGGTGGAAAGATCAAAAGAATAAGACTCGACAAGATGTTTCTCTTATTAGACCTGAAGCCATTTGTATATGGTTGGAAAAACAATTGAATTAATTCAATAAAAAAATTTATTGTATAAACATTTCCGTTGATTTAGTTAGATAGTCTTTCTTCATTCTCAATAAGGATTGTATTTTAAACTCGTTCAACTATGAATATTTTATTTATGAAATTTAAATGCGTAGAATCGCTTTAAGTTCCAGAAGTATTATTAACTATTCTTCTACTATATAATTTTGATAGAATATAATAAATAATGCTGCCTGAATGTTTTCTTCAAAACAAAATTGACAGTTGAGGGTGTGAGTCTGGATATAGATGAAAAACGTAGATTCATATCCACACTCAAACCCTCAAGATAGCTATTCCTCGTTCACTGATAGAAGATCTGTAACATATTAAACTGACAAAATTTTGAAAATTTTTGGCTTCAGTCGTTTTCGTCTAATAAGTTTCTTGGGACCACTTAACAACAAAACTATGTATGACGAAGACAAGCAACATTCGCTGAATAAATCATATTTCTTTTTCTCTTCTATTTAAATAACAACGTGCTGCGCGCGCATCGACATACTGGAATAATTGCGCAGATGAAGACAAGAGAAAGTTGGAATGAATAATTATAAAACGAAATCATTTTGCTGGCTTCTCATTTGTTTGGTAGCGATCGTTGTTACGAACGTTATTTACCTTGTTCTGTGTCTTACTCTTCATAACAATATTTTAATAAGTAACTTATTGAATTTTCTCTTTGAATCTTGACAAAAACTGCATACATTTTATATACCGAAAAAAACGAAAAATACGCCACTGTCTTATAAATAAGAGCGACGAGTTTTTTTACCATTTAAACAACAAAAATTATTGCCAAGCTTATATTCAACATAAAATTATCATAAGAACAAAATGAGTGGATTGGGAGCAAATCGAAAAGCTTTTTCATCATCACATACGTTCATGAATAACAATAGCACAGCACTAGCATCATCGAATGCTATCCCACCAAGAAGACGAATGATTCAAAACTACTCGGTCCTCTGGTTAGAGGAGTGTATGGATCAAACAAACAAAGATTATGAAAATAGTTTGATACAAATACGAACCATCGTCGACAATGTGAACGTCTTTAAGCAACGAGATGAATGTATTGACTTCCTTAGTGATGCTCAAGACATCAAGTCTTTTCTCATTATCGAAAATAGTATGGTTCAACAAATCATGCCTCTCATCAATGATATTCCTCAACTGGATAGTATTTATATCTTGAGTAACATTAAATCCTTACATGAAGAATTGACACAAAAATGGCAAAAAATCAAGAGCGTTCATACCAACATCGATGACTTATGCCACGGATTACAAGTAGATGTCAAGCAATACAAACAAGACTCGATTTCTATGAGTTTTGTTCCAGTAAATGAAATGGATTCAACTGTTAATTCAAATCAGTTGGAACCAACATTTATGTACACTCAAATATTCAAGGATATTCTTCTTGATATGGAACATGGTAAACAAGCCATCAAACAGTTTACAGCTTATTGTCGACATAATGACTGCTTGTCACCAATATATATTGACCGTTTTGAGAAAGAGTATCAAGATCAATTAGCTATTTGGTGGTATACTTTTCCATCGAATATCTTTTCTATGCTCAATTATGGTCTTCGAACAATGAACGCCGATATAATTATGACTATGGGTTTTTTTCTACATGATGTACATAAGCAAATTCAACAGCTATATGAACAACAGATCAATGCTTACGGAACAAAACCTTTTTTAGTTTATCGAGGACAAGGTTTTGTGAAATCAGACTTTGAAAAACTTCAGCAAACACAAGGCGGCTTAATGTCATTCAACAATTTCTTGTCCACCAGCAAAGATAAAGTCGTATCCATCGGCTATGCTCGCATTGCTTCAACAGAACCGGACAAGGTGGGCATTCTTTTTATAATGTCAATAGATCCTTCTATTAAATTAACACCATTTGCCTCAATCAAAGAGGAGAGCTATTTTAGAGAAGAAGATGAAATTCTCTTCTCAATGCACACAGTGTTTCGGGTGAGTGCAATTAAACAAATGGATAATGAGAATCAATTTTATGAAGTTGAATTACAATTAACGTCGGATGATGATCAACAACTACGATTACTTACTGATCGAATACGAGAAGAAACTAATGGTACTGGATGGCAAAGATTGAGTAACTTATTGCTTCAGATTGGTCAATTTGATAAAGCAAAAGAACTTTATAATGTATTACTCGAACAGACATCTTATGAGGGTGAAAAAGCGCCTTATTATAATCAACTCGGAGGTGTACATATGAATCAAGGTGATTATGAAAAGGCTATATGGTATTACGAACAAGCACTTCAAATTTTTCAAAAATATCTCCCTTCAAATCATCCTGATTTGGCTACTTCGTACAACAACATCGGTTTGGTGTATAAAAACATGGGCGACTACTCGAAAGCACTTTCATTTTACGAAAAAGCACTTAAAATTCAGCAAAAAACTCTTCCTTCAAATCATTCTTCATTGGCTATTTCATACAATAACATTGGTAATGTGTATAACATCATGGGCGACTACTCGAAAGCACTTTCATTTTACGAAAAAGCACTTGAAATTCAACAAAAAACTCTTCCTTCAAATCATCCTCATTTAGCTACTTCATACATCAACATCGGTTTGATTTATAGTAAGATGACACAGTACTCGAAAGCACTTTCGTTTTTCGAAAAAGCACTTGAAATTCAGCAAAAATCTCTTCCTTCAAACCATCCTTTATTGGCTACTTCATACAACAACATCGGTGGTATGTATAACAAGATGGGAGAGCGCTCGAAAGCACTCTCATCACACGAAAAAGCACTCAACATTCGAAAAAAAACTCTTCCTTCGAATCATCCTGATTTGGCACAGTCATACAACAACATCGGTGGTATGTATCATAGTATGGGAGAGTACTCGGAAGCACTTTCATTTTATGAAAAAGCACTTGAAATTCAACAAAAAACTCTTCCTTCAAATCACCCTTCATTGGCTATTTCATACTATAACACCGGTTTTGCGTATCAAGATATGAAAGGCCATTCGAAAGCACTGTCATATTTTGAACGTGCTCTAGACATATGGCAACGTGCATTCCCTCCAAATCATCCGAATATAAAGACTGTGAAACGCACGATTGAAATTGTAAGAAAGAAATTATAAAGAATAATTGATAACTAAATAAAAGAATATTTTGTTTAATTATTTTTGAATTAATTTTGGTTTGCAGTGTCCCATGCGAGCGTAAAGACAATAACTCTGTAAATAGTAAAAACGTAATGGACAAAGCGGACTGATAAGGTAATACACATACATACGTAATTGTATAAATGACCTTTTCAGTGATATATACGTTTCTAATTCTGTACAAGTGTTCCCTGTAATGAAAGAAGAATAACATATATGAAATTGAGTTGTAATAGTGCGGAGCGAGGCCTCGTATGATGAAGAAAAGGCGAGAAAGCTAAGATATAGATATATATGGATATGTCGTCAACGTATGGTCTTGTTTAATCAATCAATTAGTATTCATCATTAATTATAATTAAATAAAAAGAGTACATATTTGCTCATGATGTATTCATCAATTTAGACATATTGAAAATAGTGATGAATTATAATTTATTTTATCATGTAGAAAAGTCAATTATAGTCCCCTGATCTCGAATTCTGAGTAAGAGAGAAATTGTTTGAAGAGATGTCTTACAACGATATCTCATTTTTGCATTACCACCACACTTTGGTGTTTCGTAGAGGATACTGTAAATTATAGAAGTGGATCAGCTAAATTGAACGTATGCGAAAAAACAACTAATCTTTACGATAACATAACATTCTAGATATTCTTATTAAGCTTTCGAATGACTAAGTTACAGAACATTGCGTGGGGTGGGATGGGACATGAAAAGTCGTTCCATGGAACAAGTATTCTTCAAAATATTCGATGAGATGGGATGATAGATTTTTAAAAGGAATCTATCCTACACGATCTTATAAAAAAAACTTTCGTCCCATGTGATGGGACCATGAAATAAACATTTCTCGTCCCATCCCATCTCATCCTATGAAACTACATGTTAGTCAAATATCGTTAAAAAAATAAATTCTTTGTGTAGCTGTGGCTCGACTAATACTATCAATTCTTTTACTATTTCATATTACATTACATAATTTTATTACAATCAAGTATACAAAGTTTCATCCATTCACACAAAGAAAATATATATCATTGTTTTTATAAATACAATATATCAGAAAAAAATAGTAATAAAGGACATTTTACTTCAAGTGCACAATAACTTTATATAAATAAACTCATACAAAAAAGACGTTCATGTCATGGATCGTTCAGCATGTTTCGTCTTTTCCACAGAACGAATAAAGAGGATGTTATCAACTTGATTGGGATCGAAACCTGTTCGGCGTTCATTAACTACAATACCAGCATCACTGAATTGTCTTTCCACGGCAGCTGGTAAAGTAGGAATACTATGTATTTGTCATGCTACTTTGGATAAGACTGGAAAATTAATTAGATTGGCGCGCCAGAAATCAAGTGGATTATCAGTTAAAGTCGATTTAACAATTTTCATCTTGACGGTATGAGTGTGGATGTGAGGTTGATACAATTTCAACACCTGCACCTTCAAGACGGTAATAGTTTGGTAAATCGTCTTCTGAAAGATCGCGTGATTTTCCAACAGCAATATATGTTTATCAACGATTAAATCAAGACTAGCTGCACCGGTGATTTCTTCGAATTCTTCCGCATGCTGTAACTGATTGAAACATACGTTATTGCAAATTATATTATTCCATAATTGTCGATAATAAGATAATTCAATTTTGCTATCATTATCGACATTATTTTTAATTACACCATTTGTCGCATTCTGTAGTTGTTCAAAACGTGTGCGATCATTCATTCCATCTAATATTAGCACCGCTCTAGAAAATGAATTGAATTAATGTTATATATTATTTTCAAAATTATGATACAGAGGAAATTTACTTTTTGTTAATTAAAATATGAAAGATCGTTATTTAGAAAATATGAATAAATCAAACATTTAATTTTATCGATTGACTGCAGATACGAAATTAAGTAGAGAACACTTACGTAAGGGTTGATGTTGGTAATACATCCAAAAACATGCTTGGCGATATTTTTAAAGCATATACGCATATTTTCCAAGGTAACTACCTTAGGAAAAAGTATATCGCTTTTCTGTTCGATACATACATCTTGACCATCACTCAAAGTTACGACAAATCCAATACACGTAGCAATACATGTGCTTCCTAAACGACCATTTGAGCAACCGAAATGATCAACGTTTATATCGTTTATTAATTTACTTTTTGTACCTAATCACATTTTGTTAATATGTGCGGACAACGATTAGATTTAAATAAGAAATGATATTTGAAATACTGATAGAGAAGAAAATAGAATCAACACGTGTTTCTATATCGATATATATATATATATATCCATAAACTTAAATTTCTACTATAACAGTACTTTCCCTGGATATATCTTTATTATGATAGTTGAAATACGTTACCTGATTTATCGCAATGCAATAAAACTTAATTCATTAGCCTTCATGATTTAAAGGAATCTGTAAATGAACTTTTTTATTATTTAACATAAAAAAAGAAAAGAAAACCAGTTAAAGTTGGATATTGAAATTTCAACAATGTCTTGTTCGACAATCTTTGATTTTGACTATATATGTCAATACACAATTTAACTCGTCATTATATATATTTTTCGATGTGATACGCAACGTTAAAGCCAAATATGTAGTACATTACATGAATAAAGTTTAATTTGAATATTATTAATATCAAATAATTGTCCATTACCAGCTGCAATCAACGATTCTAAGAACATAATTTTTTGCTTCTCTTTGGATTGATAATAAGTACCTTTATTCAACGTTAACGTTACTAATTGACGAAATCGACGAATTAAATTTAAAACAAATTCAATCGTATTTTCATTGAACGTTATATTTCCACCACTCGTTTCAAAACGACGTATATTAGGGGTTAATTGAGTCAGTCGATAAATATCGATATATTCTTTAGGTTGGAGGTACAACATATGGTCTAATAAAAGGTGTATGTGTCTTAAATTTGAGTAAGTGTGTGACATGTTTTGAAAATCTTTCCATGCTACTGCAAGATGTGAAACATTTGGTGATGCATTTAGAAAATGGTGGACTATAGCCACACGTTGAGAACTTTGAATCGACACTGTCTCAAAGTTAAAAGTCAATGAATGCAAATAATTAAGCGACAAGTTTCCACCTGCAATATCGCTCGGTATTGTTGGCATATTTGTCTAAAAATATATACATATATAGTATGGATACATTCATCAAGTGTGAAGATGTCGTTAATCTTTTTGGTAAGCAAACTATATTTATAACTTTCTTAATATCTAATTATTTTTTCAAACTTGTAATATGGAATCAAATTTTTCTTAAGACAGGAGGTTCCTTAATATATATGACATAATCAATTCTTAATTACTAATAAATTTCTGATAGAGAAGCAATGCACTCGAACATCAAATGTTCATCTGTAAATTAACAAAAAACTGCGAGAAAATCAAATTTTTTAAGTTAATTTATTAATACAATTATATATTCAAATACATGGCACTTTATAGATTTCACTAAGTGATTTAATTTATCCTCTCATATTAGATAATCACATATGGTCGAGGAATAATTTGACTATAAATAGCAGATGTACTGCACTGCATTAGGAAATATTTTCAGTGCTAATACATGTATGATATATGACGAGATGAGATGTATTGTTTTAAGAAAGAGATACTAATATGAAATTAGCACATCTTTAAATAATTCTTGGGAATTCAGGTGTATAATTATCGTTGTGCTGTTATGAGAATACTTTGAGTATCGAGTGTTAAAGATTCGAGTGCAAGCAACATTTGTATTCGCATTAAAAATGACGCTAACCATAATGCTAGCGCCAAATAGATTCAAAGTATGCGCATTAATTCCAGTACTAATGCTAAACCGACACCCCTAATAAGCATTGCTATGTCTAACAAATTTTAAATTGAAAAGTTCTCTATGATGGATGTTTTCAACTAGTATCCTTTATTCATCATCGCGTTTCACATATGCTTACCTGTTGATGTAAATAGGTCAGCTTGAGTTTATCAACAGGACCGCTTGCAATCATTCGCAAAGTGTTATTTAATTGATCATTTGTGTTCACTTCAACACAAGTCCACTCCATGTATCGTCGTTGAGCTGTGTTAACAGGTATAGGTACATGTAATGGAAAACCATGATTATGTAAAGTACGTTTATGTTGTAAAATCACGCTAACTGGAGATCGATAGACAACGAAAAATGTCTTTTTTATGCAATGTAATGCATCATCAGTGAAAATCAGAATGTCCTCCATATAGTAATTGAGATTATCGAAAGGCCATTCACACTTGTATCCAACTGAGCTAGTTCGCCATGCATGCTCAAGTGTTGCAGGAAAACATAATGAAAAGTGAAGAGCTTTTAGTGCAGGTAAATGTGTAGAGCAACATATTTCTTGGAACTTGCTAAGATGATCCAGTGCTACAAAAAGAAAGATACTGTTTTAAAAATAGTATATTTCGAAGCAACACCTTCGTGCTCTTCTCCATTATCATTACATTTCAACAAGGTTGATTGTTAGAATAAAAGTGGATATGCCAATGTAAAGAATATAGAAACCAGATTGCAAATTCTTGTATGGAATTTAAGAGTGACTATCAATACTGCATTGACTACTACGACTACGACACAATCGAGAATTTTAGCATAAAAAAATAATGATTGAAACAAAGGAACATATTCAGAGTATTGATTAATTACTTTCGTGTAAACAACTCTTGGTAGACATAGTTCATATCAAAGTCTATCTTTCAGTATCAAATGAAACGGAAATAATTGCATTCATATAAGATATAGGATACTGTACAAAGTAATAAGATAATTCAGTATTTGGTTTCACATAATGATAACTTACTATTATCGTGCATATCAATGAGTGTTAATTTCTCAAGTAAAGGCATCTTTAACGAACCAATTATTGTAACTAGATCGCCAAGAGAGATGTAGCGTATTAATAAAGATCGCAATCGGCAATCATCTAACATTAAAAATAGATCTTTATCGAGAAGTCGGATATTCGATACTGATGTATGTTGCTGTAATGATGAACAAGTACGTATTTCTTCATTAATAATATTCAAATGTTCGATTGCAGGCAGAGCATTACGTCGAAATAGGAGCATAATTTCGCTCGATTGTTGGATACTTAAAGTTAATTGAACTGTATTTGGCCACCGGAGTGATCGCATTTCATGTAAACCTTTAACAGGAGATTTAAAACGAAATTCATGACCTAAAAACAAAATAAACATATAGCAAAGATAATAATAGTCAGAGAGTGATGTTATTAAGGGTGCACAGGACGAATGCACCACTGCTAAGACTATCTGATAGATACAAGTGATAGTTTTGAAGAAAATTCTATAACTTCTATATTTACTATCTGCTTCAACAAGAAATATTTTATTTGGGTTTGGCATGTCTAGAATAGCAGAACCTTTATACAATTAAAACTAGCAGACAATGTATTGTAACAGTATGTGATATTAATATTATTTCAGCAGTCATTCGTATACAATTTGTACTGGAGTATTTATTTGACAACATACCTTGTTCAACTTCTAGTATGACAGTGTGAACTGCAATACGACAACCGACGAGTTCAGACAGTGTATCTGAGTATGATATTGAAGGTAAGTCAAATACAAGATGCAAAGTTTGTAATACAAAGTTAGAAAATACTAATGATTTTAACAAAGATGCAACGAATAGATGATAGTAATAGTTTGTATTCAATATAACAAGCTTCTTGAGTGATGGTAACCACATATTCGACGATCTAGTATTATTTAATATATTGTTCCAGTGGTCGAATAGCATTATGCAGGCACGAGTATCACGAAACACAATAGTATCTACTGAAGAAGTAACACGATTCATAATATGTTCTTCATCGGCACTTAAAAACTGTCGCAGTTGACTGTAATGCATTGAACTGACATCTAATGAGTGGCGCATAGAAGTGAGTAGTTGTTCTATACGGGTATTCTTCGCATCAAGAAAAGCTCGACAGAGATCGAATGAAGTTAAATAACGAAATATTACAAGTAATAGTTCGTTAGGTAGCGATTCCAATGTGTTTTTTTCCATTGTATTATCGTATTACACTTATTTTACATGTATTTTTTTCTATTTTATATGTGTGTACATATATTGACCTGATATACGATTGGACGATCAATATATTCAGTTACGTCCGATATGTTCGTTTGGTTAATCGACGATGAACATTGAAAAAAAATTAGAATGGCCGATTTTTATCATACAAATCGTCTAGTACAGTATGCATAGGCATTTTTTCAGATCCAGTGAAAAACTAGAATGCCTATGTATATCCACGTGAAACTTATTATGTGCATCGAATAGTTAGTCACAAAACGGTATTCTACATGCAAACAATTATCAAGCATAAGAATAATCGCACTATGAGGGTGGGTGTGGGTGCAGGTATGGATGAATAGAAAGTAGACACAGCCACACCCCTCAAGATGCTTTTTTCCCTTATTTTTTTTTATCAACTCAACAAATATCGTTTTATTAATTCAATGAATTGAACAGTTGGGTGATTTTTTTGTTACATAACATTGATAAAATGTAGCACACACCTTTGAATATGAAGTAATACATGTATTGTGTTCTCTTTCATGTTGACACGAGCGTACTGTAATGTACTTTGCATACGCAGAATAACGTGCTGAATCGTTCTTTCTGGATGCAAAAAAAAGGAGGAAGAAAAAAAAGAAACATTACATTCCTCTCGTTTAAAAGCGAGAGCATTTTTACTTCATCAAGGTTATTTATAAAACCATCAGCATCATACGCAGTTAGTATCTTTTCTTTACTTGATTCTTTTTTTAGATTGAACGTCACAATTATTTCACGCATATTTCTGCTCAGAAACAATCAAATTATTTGTTATTTATCTGTTGTCTATAACAGAACAATAACAAAACTTCTCATCCCTTGTTAGCGGATCAGTGTTTTTAATACTCATAAATTTTCGTGATGAAATAGTTTTATAGAGAGAATACTGGAAACGAAGTAAAACATATCAACAACAATCATAATAAATACAGTTGTTTACATGATTTGAAAAATTTTATTTCTAGATAAATTTTTCAAGCTTGCAAATTATAATTTCTATTTTACAACTCAACAATCAAAATGCGCGTCTTCGTAACAGGTGCCGCTGGCTTCATTGGTCGTGCCGTCATCGCGGAACTTATTAACCATGGTCACCAAGTGCTTGGTCTCGCTCGTAGTGATGCATCCGCCGAGATTATCACTAAAGCTGGTGGACTACCTCATCGGGGAGACTTGGAAGATCTCGAGAGCTTGAAGAGCGGTGCAAGAGCTGCTGACGGTGTTATTCATCTAGCCTTCGAATTCGACTTCAACAACATGGCAAAATGCACAGCAATGGATAGAGCGGCCATTGAAGCCATGGGAGAAGCGATGGCTGGCACAGGAAAACCACTCGTCATAGCTTCTGGCACCTTGTTTTTGCCCAAGGGAAAACTGGGGACAGAAGATACCGAACCTGATCGAAACAATCCTCTTTCCGAGCGTGGGCAGTCTGCAGATTTGGTCTGCAAACTGTCAAAGGAAAAGCAAATACGCGGATCGGTGATCCGACTTTCACCTACAGTTCACGGCAAAGAAGACAAAGGATTCATCCCAATGTTGATCAATCTAGCACGCCAGAAAGGCTTTGTCACTTACATCGGTGATGGTTCAGCTCGATGGCCTGCTGTTCACCGATTGGATGCTGCGGCTCTATTCCGTCTTGCTTTGGAAAAAGGTACCGCTGGTGGGATCTATCATGGTGTTGCTGAACAGGGCGTATCGATGAAAGACATCATGACTGTGGTCGGCAAACATCTTCAGCTGCCTGTGGAAAGTAAATCTATGAACGAAGCTGTCGAGGCTATTGGTTTCTTTGCTCATGTGATCGGTTCGGACAATCCTGTCTCAAGTGACAAGACCCAGAAGGAACTGGGATGGCACCCCAGTCAACCTAAATTACTAGATGACATAGAAGCGAACTACTTCTCTTCGGAAAGTAAATCGAAATAATCCTTATGAAGAAGAATACTTCTTTGGACTGATGTTGTCAATTTCGCCTCAGCACTCATAGGACTAGAATCACTTCGCTTTTGTCTATTATAGATATGACGCATAATATTATCATTTTTAAATATCAAATAAAGATACTAATATAGTTTCTGCTATGAATCGGCTTTTCTTCGGTAGATTTTATCTTGTCTATAATTTTACTTTTCATGGTCAAATCATTTTTAGAGTTTAGAGATAAATAAATCATTAATATAATATTCTCGATTATTTTTGTTAAAAATAGATTTATTTTATTAAAGTTTCTTGTGCTCATGGGCGTCTGAAGTTCTGAATTAAAAAAGAAGAAGATGAAGAAGATGAAGATGAAGAAAACGAACGACAAAAAAAAATGAAAAACACAGCTGCATTAATAAGAGAATAAACACACACACGCACACAAACACTCAATAAAAAATAGCCACAGCTGAGGTGCACAGGTCAAGCATCGTCATGATCGTCAAAATATTCTTTAATTCAAAAAAAAAATAACCTGTTTTTAAGGAGAACACAAATATACACATAGAATCGATTTTGATATATGTTAATAGAAAATAAAAAATAGAAAATACATTTTGGTTTTTACAATAAATAAAGACGATTTTCCAAACATATACAGACTTTGTCTATATATATATATATATTAATCAAAGGGAATTAGACAGACACAGTGGAAATGAAGAAATAGTTTGTGTTATTTTTTTTTTGTTTTAAGATCAAGAATGATGAGAAACTTATTTATTTATTTTGTTGTTAATTACTTAAAAGTATTTTTCGACCTATTGGCTCATCATCATCCATATCATCACTATTTGAACCAGCTTCATTATCATCATCATTTTCCTAAAAGAAAATAGATTGAAAATAAAAATAACAATCGAAATAGATTCTATTACTTTATCCGAACATAATTCACTTGCTCTTTCTAATACTGTTATAGCACTTTGTGTTCGTTCAAGATAATATCCTTGGGACATATCATTACTTGTAATCTGTCCTTGGGATGGATAATATGGATAGTTTGATGGAATGCTATTTGGTCGCTAAATAAATAAATAGTTAAAGATTTTAGAAAACAAAAAAAGAATTTAATTAAATTTTACTTCAAGTTGATCACGTAACCAACGAACAGCGCCAGCCCAACGTTGTTTAATATCTTGATCAGTTAGTAATAAATCACGTGCTTTCAAGGAGCTAAATTATATTTATAGTCGAATATATATAGATATAAATAATTCGATTTACCTTGTAAATAATTGTAACAGCATTTTAATGAAGCAATATGCTCGTTTTTGATGAGATGATTTCGATTTTAAGTATAAATCAAATAGTGTTTGTGGATTATCATGAAAATTATTCATATTAGTCACTGCTATTTTTATTGGCGATGGTGATGATGGTCGTGATGATGGAGTTTCATTTAATACTTCCGTTGTTTCACCCGATAATGGAGTACCTTTTAATACATGTAAAATTCGAATTTCTTGCCATGAATCTTCAATTGTAAGCACCATAGATAATATATCAAGATGAGCGCGTAGATCAGATGTGTAATAAATCGAAAGCTATAAATAATAAGATTATAGTTAATGAATAAATTTTGTATGTACAAGAAACTTACTGATCCAAGAATCTCTCGAAGTACAGTTGACGTAACATCTGGATTTTCCCAAAGAAGAAATCGAAGTAAATTTGCTGATTCTTCACATGAATTAACATCTTCAATAATTTTTTTTAATAAATGATCTCGTTTATAAAGAATATCAATTAAATCTTTTGGAATTGAACATATTGGACTATTGTCATGTGTATAAAACGGATTTGGTAAAAGTTTATCATCAGGCTAAATATATAAAAATGAAATTTTTACTTAAAAATAAAATTCGTATTAGCATTCTTTACTTGTCTAGGTTTACATAATAACGAAACATCAAAACAACGTATCAAGGTTGAAAGTATAATAGACAATTTCGACGGATCACCATAACGTTGTATTGATGATGGTGATGTATCATCATTTGCTAAATTAGCAAGAAGTGTTGGAACATTATGTTGAATTAATTGTTCACACTGAAGATTTTAAAAGATTAATAGAACAAAAAAAGGTTTTATATGAAAAGTAAACATACTTCATGACGGCCATGCGTTGAAAAACTAATAAAAAATAGAAAATATTGTGCTGACATTTTCACATTATCAGAAGCTTCTTTTTTAAGTAAACGTAAAACATTATGAAGTATAGTTTCTTCAACAGTCATTTCATCTATTTCAAAACGAAAAAAATTAATATTTTTCTTTTTATAATCATTTAAATCAATACCGAATAGCCGATCAATATATTGTTCATCTTGACGAGAATGTATAGCAAGTGCAACAAGTATTCGACTGAATGCACCACGAATCTATTGAATTATTAAAAAATATTTTCTTCTTTAAAAACTAAAATTTGCTTTTCCTACTTCTGCTGATGTACAATCAACAAGATATTCTTGAAAACGATTTAAATGTTCAAATAAAACTTCTTCAGCAAAATATTGTCGTGCTTTACGAGAATGTCGTATACATTGATTAATTAATTCAGTCCAATCACTAGCTTGACCACTAAAAGAAAAGATAATAGAATATATAAACAAGTAACGCTCATCTGGAGACTCGCTCAGCTCTCTCTCGTAGAACCGATATGTCTTCGTTACCAGTAAACTATTTATTCAAACAATCTCAAAAACTAACATCAGATTCAAAATACCTCTAAAAATGTGTTTTCGGAGAAATCGGTGTTCGATGTTTTTTTGACCCTGCGGACATACAATCAAGAAATCAGACAATTTATGTTTACTGGACTCTTCTCTACGAGAAAGAGAATACAAATGATATTCTTCAAGGCTCAGGGAATGCTCGAATGTAAAGATCTCTGATCAGAAAATATTAAATACCAACCGAAGTGCTTTCTTTGTATGCCATCCAATTGTAAAAAGAAATTTAGCTGCTATTTGAATACTAATCAATGCTAAATCTTCGATTGTCTATAGAAAAAAATAAATATTTTTGATATTTCATAAAATTAATAAAACTAAATAATTTACATTAATATATTTATCTTTATCTTCTTCATTTTGTTGTTGTTGTTGAATGATATTAAGTAATTGTTGTACATTATTTTGTACAAGTCTTTTAATAAAAATAAAATATTCTTGACTGAATAATATTCGATTATGAAGAAATTTTATATTTTGTTTTCTAACACTACGTTGAACTGATAATGGCATACGTTGAGTATGATCATCTGAAATTAAATTATATATATATATATTGATAAAAGGGAGAAAATTATTCTTATAAACATACATAATTGTAATGATGATAAACTTTTTTCAAAATTTTTTATTGGATCAGATTCATTAGTAGGTAGTTTTTCATAGAATAAAATATATGCATTCCACCAACGACGTTGTCTATTTAGATAAATGAAAAAATATTTTAAAGATAGAAAAAAAATAATAATAAATACCGCTTCATAGCTGGTTGATCAAATGGAGATGCTGAATGATCACCACCAAAACATTGTTGTCGAAGTTCTTCATCATCATTCATTTTACATTCATTAACATCAGTATCATCAAATTTATACCATTGAGAATGATTTGAAGAATCTAATTCATCCCTATATATATAAACAAATAAATAAATTATCTATGATAAAAAAATAATAATATTACTTATGTTGAATAAATGAATAATAATGACCACCATTTGCTTGTCCCATATGTACAATAATGCCGACAAGTTTATAACGTGTACCATCATTACTATTAGTATTTGTTGTAGTTTGATCGTCATTTGTATTTTCATCAATCACAGGTGTGCCTAATATAAACAAATTATAATCATATAATATACTTCATATGAGTTGTAAATTACCTTCTGCTTTAGCAAGACCTTGAACTGTATATGGTTCCATGTCTAATTCTCTTGGAAATTCAAAATAATCATTGAATTTAATTGGTGTTTCACGTTCCCAATCATAATCAAATCGTTTAAGTTGTATAGCAAGAACTGGCGGTAGCTTTTTAAAACAAGTTCGTTTTACTGTATCAACCTTTTTATTACATTTTTCACAGAAATATGCATTAGGTCCATCGAGCAATTCTCCAATGACATACTGTTCAAGTGATTCTTTTAGATTTTGACTATGACGTATATCAACGCTTAATAATGTAAAATCTTCTTCACGTGAATATCTAAAAATCAAATTGAAGAAATAGAAGAATTAACGGAAAAAAATATCTTACCGATGTGGACAGTCTTTGCAAATTTTTTGATCAGCAAATGCTCCACCAAGAACTTTCGAACATATTTGAGGTAATTTTAATGTTTTTAATGCTTCATCTAAACTATCAACAACAGTATTTAAAAATTCGACAGCATCTTGTTGATCACGTAGATTCACCGGTTCACCTGCAAATCTAAGAAGAAGAAAAAAAGCACAATATAATAACAAAAAATAATATTATATTTTAATATTTACTTAAAAATCTTCCAGTAACCTTTTGGAATATAATATTGTAATTTTGATTCTAATAAATGTCCGAATATTCTTTGAATTTGACGAAGTATTTGAATATTATATTCATTTCTATCAGTTATAGGATCTTTTATTGGTGATAAAGTTGTTTGAATATCTTTAACACATGATTTTCCATCGGAACATGTATCAGGCTAAAATAATAAAATAGATTTGTTTTGTTTTTTATTGAAAATTAATTTCATTTACAGTATCTCGACGTATATCATCATCATCGAATTCATCTTCACCATATTCAACAGGAATCTTAACAGATAATAATGCTGTGCGTAGTGATCGTATCATAAACAATTGTTGTAAAACTGAATTCATGTAACATGTTGCTCCAGCATTCTTCAAACCAACAAAACCTCGATTTGGACGTGAACCAATTGGTAAAGAAAAATCCCATTCAGTTAAAGCTGAATCAGGAGCTAGAAAATAATTAAAAATAGATTTAATTAAAGATAAGCAATTTCAGTAAACTATTTTCTCAAAAAACGAGATATCGAATATTTATGGTACTTTTCCTATAGAATCCTACCTGTGTGGTAAAAGCAAAGTTTCGAATTTAGATCTGAAACTTTGCCCACACTAACACCTCAATGACACAAGCTTGCTTACAAAGTTTCAGAAATTCTGGACAGATTATCTTCGGGATATGAAACCTGATATCCATAAGAAAGCGTCTCTATGCTAACATACTTGTATCTCGAAGACAGTCTTTTCGAAATTTCTGAAACTTTGTAAGCAAGCTTGTCCCGCTGAGGTGTTATTGTGGACAAATCCCCTACTTGTGGGCAAAATTACAGCTCAAAAGCTTTTTGAAACCTCGGGTGGTTCCCTCGTCAGCTCACGCACGAATGGTGTACCTCTGCTTAAGAACCATTTCAGTCCTTCCCCCTCCTATAAAAACTTTCTTCTTTATTTTACCTGAATAAAATAGATCAGTAGTATATCTATCAATTAATTTTAAATTATCAATACAATTAGTTCCTAATATAACTAATAAATCAAAAGCTGCTAGAATTGTTAATGGTGATTGACAAATTGGAATTTGTGGTTCTTTAAGTTCATTATCTTCATTATCAATTGTTTGTTTCGAAAGACGTTTTTGTTTTATCGTACGAGATTGATGAAGTAATGTTGATGCTGGAAAAAGAAATTGTTCAATTATTTGTTGTATTAATAATTGTTCAATTCCATAGAAACGTTTACATTCCGTTGTTTGAAATTGTAATAATTCTTTAGCTAAATTTAAATGTCCACGAAGTAAATGTTCATCAACAGGTAATTGAAGATTTTTTAACCAATTTATTTCATCACGTAATTGTTGATCAATATCCGATAATACAATATGATTTTGATACGCATAGGATAATAAACGACATAATAATAGAAAAAAATCAGCTGAATATAATGAATAAATTTTTAAATTATCTGAATGTTTATTAATTATTTGAAATTGTTTATCAATAAGATATTTTAATAAATTTTCATTTTCACCTTGTGAACAACGTACTGTTAAAATATATATTTGTTCTGATGCTATATGACGTATAGTTGGATAATGACAATAGAGAACAAGATCAATAAGAAAATGTTCGAACATATTTTCTTTTAATAAACGTTCAACACATGATGGTACTAAAGCAATAGAGATACAAAGTAATTCTAAACCTTCACGACACGTTGTTAAATTTTCTTCATCATCGTCGGAATATTCAGTGATATCGATTTGATCATTTGCATTAAACTAAAAAAGAATCAAACAATATTAGTTTGTTAGCTATTTGATGATTATCTTACATTTTCTTGCTTAAAAGATTTATGAATTGCATTAAAATCATTTTTTAAATTAATTTCAAATGAATTTTGATCATTATATGATGCTAAACACCAAATAAGACGTATTAATTCAATAATATGTTCATACTGTAAGAATGAAGCTTTTGGTATCGGATATGTATTTATATGTTGAAGTAATAGTGAAACAATACGTCGTTCAAGTGACATTGTTGTATGTTGTTGTTCATTATAGATAGTTGTTATTGGCATTAAATTAAGTATTTGTTCTAATGATTCATTATAACTTGGTGTATTTGATATTTTTAATTGATAATAACCAAGAATAATAAGGAAACGTTTAAGTATACGAAGTCCAGTAAAATAAATTGATTTTCGTGTTGCTATATCACATTGATCAGTATATTGTTTTTGTGTTAAAATATTTAATAAACATGTTAAACCACCAGCATTAAGAAAATATACATGTAAAGCTTCTAAATCATTATTTTCATTTGTAGAAAAAGAAGCTGGTGCAAGTTTAATAAGTGTTGTTTGTAAATTATATAACATTTGTGTAGGTGATTTATGAAAATAAAAATTATTTAAACGAGTAAAATTTTCGTCGGAATCCGTTTTTTGAGTAGCAAGACTAGTAGTAAATGCATGTTTTACATGAGGATCAACAGGTATTAAATCAAGAATTTGACGTGCTGTATCACGAAGACGAATATTTTTTTCTTTACAACCCAAATCGGATATGTCAATTAAAAATTGATAATATTCATGTTTTTGAAGAATTATCTAAATAAAATAAGAAATTTCTTTAATAGACTTTTTTTTGTATCATTTACGACTATATTTCCTCAATCTATTATCGTCAAATAGTGCCGTAACCAACGGGGAGCTCAGCTCTCCCTAGGAGATTTTGAGATTCTCTCAGACTGTCAGACGCTCTTGATAAAAAAGTATGAAGCTCAGCTTCCCCTAGAGCAAAATCCTGGTTACGCCACTATATACAAATACTGTTATTAACGTAACCCAAAGTTGTTAAGGCCTTGATATGGGTAAAGCTTTACGTCTAAACTCGAAACTTTGATTTTATGAAGAAAATGAGGCCCCATAGGAAGATTTTAGTCAAAAGTCGATATCTGAACTTGCGCCTATATACTCCCTACTTATGGACAAAATTCGAGTTCAAAAGCATTTTAACACCTCAGGTGGTTCCCTCGTTATTATTATTATTAAAATTGAAGTCAAGAACTAGAATAGAAATTCAATATTGTCTAATAGGACACTTATGAAATCAGAGATAGAACCGGTACCGATCCGAACTTTAGATCGGTAACTCTACCGGTTTCTTACCGCTCTATATTCTACTAAAAACTTATTTTTTTCGAAAAATTTTGTTTTTTTGAAAATTTATCTGTACCGCCCTAAGGGGATACAATATGAACGTTATTAGCAGGCAAATCCAGTATAACATCCGTCCAAGTCGGATCGAGTTAACGACTTCTACACTACTGATTTTTACCGGTCTACCGGTTTCTTGCTGATCTACCAGTTTTTTGCCGGTCTACCGGTAAAAAATCGGACCGGCTCCATCTATGTATGAAATACAAAAAAATTCAGTTTCAGTTCTATTTCTATTGAGAAATGTTAAACTGTGAGATCAAAAAATTAATAAAATGATTTACCACTGATGGTAGCACACTTTCAGCATTGGTATCAATTGCATCTAAAATTCGATTATGATGTGATACTGATGATGATGAAATATTATTATTATTTATTTCAGATTCTGATGAACTACTATCACCACTAGAACCTGCTTGAGTTGGTTGTTGAACCCATCGAACAGTTATTGTCTAAATAGAATTATCTATTAGAATTTGAAAAGCGAAAGATTTTTTTTTCTTACAATTCTATCACGTCCATCTGTTTGTGCTAAAGTTTTATTATCTTCTGCTGTATAAATCATATCACTATTTCGAAATATTTCTAGAATACCAAATGTTGTTTTAAATCTAAATAAAATTTAAAAAAAAGTTTTTTTCTTCTAAAAATAAAATAAACTTTAATACCGATTGAATATCATTCGTCGAATTTGTCCCCATGTTTCATTTGAATGACATTGATATTCAAATTCTTCGGCTTGTCGATTCTGACCAGTATTTAAACGAACGAATACTGTTACTGGTCGACCACGATAAGCTCTTAAAAAATCAAATAATCAATTATTTATTCATTCCATTACAATCCCTTTACCTTGACATAGGTAAAAAACTTCGTTCTTTATGATAAGAATAATCACATTCACCTAAATATTCTCTTAATACAATTAATATACGTATTATCGCATTAAGTTTTTGTTGATATGTTATTTGATTTGATTTTGTTTTTAATTGATCATAAACTTGTTTTAAACGATGAAAACATTCTTGAATAAATGTTTGATGTATACGTTTAATATCAGTTTTTAATTGTGGACTTATATTTGTATAAATTTCTTTAATTAATTGTATAGCACGTTCAGCAACTTCATCTGAACCATTTAATATTAATTTCCATAAATATTCCATACCAATTAGGTCTTCATCACTGATTAAACGAATTGAGCGACGTTTTTGTTGAAATTTATTCGATTGTGCATTAACAGATTTAAAAAATCGATCAAAACAACTAAAACAAAAACAAATCTTCTTAATGTGAATTATTTTCAACAAGGATAGAAAAGCTATTTGTTAGATTTCTTACGTAACTGTATTTAGTATTCAGCGAATATTAAAAAGCTAAAAAATGATTTGACAAAATCTGAAGAACATACGTATGTGACAGGTATAACCTAGATTCTTCTCAAACAATAATCTTCTACTAAGCAAGCTATACTTGATTGCTACTCTTAATTAATATCAAAAGGATATTTTACCTCATTCCAAGATCAGTCAGTAAATGAGGATCGAGTTTCATAAAATGATTTTGAAAGAAATTTTTTCCAGATTTTGATTCAAAACCAACATCATCAGTAATCTAAAATAAATATTTAGAATAGAAACTAATATATTTCTTTTTTTACTTCAGTAAACCAACGAAAACATTGTTCACGATCTTGTGGATAAACAGCTTGTTCAGCTAAACTTATCCAAATGATTTTTAAATGTTCAAAAGCTAAATAACGTCGACCATCTTTTAATACAAATCTAAAGAAATTATAATGAGTTTTTATTTTATTCGAATTTAAACATAAAACTTACTTAAGAAATGTTAAACGTTCATGAATTTGATGATTATGATCAAAACGACCATCCGGGTAATATTCTTCAGGTGGTGGTAAAATCTTCTTTTTTTCTAAAATTAATTTCGAATATTGATTTTTCAAAAAAATATTAAATTTTATCGATTACCATCTCGATAACGTCGAACAGTATCCATATAATGACAAAGATTTTCCGTAATAACACAAGTTAATTGATATTTATTTTCCAATAAATCAATAACACTTATTCTGTTCAATGGACCTGACATACGTGGAATGTTATGTGTATATAAATTCTATGAATAGAAAAAAATAAAATTACATGAATTTTTTTTCTTCATAATAAATAGTTATTTATATATCAAAAGAGAATTTATGTTAGAGATAAAATTTACATAGTTCAATTATGAAACGAAGGATTTTTATCAATTAAAGATATTGATGTAATTACGAAATTGTTTGAAAACTTTTACTCACAATAATTACATAAGTAATTGATATCAGTCGATCAATAGTTCTTGAAAACAGATGTAGAGTTTTGTATTATATCAAAGAAAAACACTAATGGATAGAAGTCCCTGGATGTGTGATACTTCTTACGGCTTCGATAATTCTTACCAGAGATAAACCTTTAAAAACTAAGATTGTATGGAGTTATGATTCAAACATTAGTTAATCTCAAAATGTACTCTTAGCTTGTTAATGCAAGTCAACTTTTTTCCTAAGATGCCTCTATTGAATATTGGTCTATTGGTAAACAGGATTGAAACTAATGTTTGAATCATAACTCCACACTACCTCAGCCAATAGAGTTCGGATCAATGCTGATGATTAAAGTTTTATCAAAGCTGTGAGAATATTCGCCACAAGAACTGATAGTGATATAGTTAGTTTTTTCTGTATATAATCTGAATTTCTATGACTGATAAATGATTATTAATTTATGAAACAAGTAACGCTCGTCCGACAACTCGCTTAGCTCTTTCTCGCAGAAATGCATCCTTTTCACCTTTACTGGAAAAACAATTGAAAACCGTAAAAAATCGGTCTTCGATGTTTTTCTGACCTTTACTCTCTCGACAGACCTCAGATTCGAACTCCCCGCATCAAAATACTTCTGGAAATATCTTTTTCGAAAAATCAGTTTTCGATGTTCTTTTGACCCTGCTGGCAGACATGCAGGCAGTTTATGTTTGCAAGACTCTTCTCTACGAGAAAGAGAATAACGTAAGACGTAGAAAAATTTCTAATAGAGATTGGATAAAATTTTCTATCATTTGATATATAAATAAGTACGTGATGTAAATAAAAAAGACAAAAGACATGTATTTTACCTCATGAAATTGTGTACATATTTCACGAATTTGTTTTATTGAAATCAGAACATGTTGATCTTGTTTAACTTCGTCGATTATTCGTTCAATCCAAGATAATTTTGTTTTTTCTTTTTCCTAGAAAATATCGATCGAACAATGTAATGATAAGTGTCTTTTTTTTTAAGATTAATTTTACTATGAAATTGTAAAGAAATACTTACCAGTAAACAGCTATAATCAAGAATTTTTAAATGTGCTGCTAAAGCTTGATCAATAATTTCATTTGGTAAATGTTTATCATGTGAAATATTCCATAATAATTCCAAAACCTATTTCAAAAGAAAGATCTCATTCGAAAATTTTTAATTTATTTCTTAATAATACTTTATTTGCCATAAGACCTTCTTTATCATCTTCGGCTAATCTTCGAATAAGTTCAAGTAATTTTTCTCGTTGTTTTTTACTAGCTTTCGTCCAACTTTCCTAAAAAATATAGAAAAAAAACGATATGATTTGTTTTTTGTTTATAGAAATATTCTTTACTCTAAAACAATCAAATAATTGTTCAAGTTGTTCAGGTGTAAAATCCCATGCTAATTTTGCAAGTAAATCATGAACATTTTTTTCAATAGCTTCATGTTTTCCACATGATGAATTCCAAATTTTAGCTAGATCAGCTCGACTTAATGCTTGTTCTTTGATTATAAAACGAAGAAGTTTCTCTAATTTTTCAACATATTGTGGTTGATGTAAACAATCACGTAAAACAATATCGAGAATTTCATGTTCTTGAATCCATTGCTAAAAAAGAAAAGAAAAAGTAAACAAAAAAGACGTTTTCATAAAATAATTTTTACAATGAATTTTTCCGATGTTAAATTATCATTATCATCAGGACGATTGAATGTTACACGATGCATTGAATTAAGACTTGGAAGAAGTTTATTCACTTCATTAAGAGCATTCATTTTACCACTGAAGGAATTCGTTTGCAATAGTCTAGATATAAAAATGAGAGAAATGATATCCAGTTTGCCTTACAAGAGCATCGCCCCGATTTAGTAAATGTGATACAACGACCGTAAAATACATAGCTGTTTTATATAAGTAAAAACTTGCTAGATACATTAATCCTTGTAAACATAATATTATCTTTCTAATAGATTAATAAACAATCTTATTTGAAAAAAATCCATTAAGAGAACAATAGAATCAACTATTCTCGAGATAGAAAAACCGATTGTCATGAGACTTTTCATTATTTCTATTTTCTTTCGAAATAAAAAAGAGATGTGAACGATGTTCAATCGTTTCAATATAAACGAATTCTCAACATCTGGATCTATACAATAAGAAACTTAAATCCTTGAATTTGCTGTCTGTCTGATTATAATAATACGTCTTATGTAAGATTAGTGAATTAGAAAAGTTTTTTTTTGTCATACCGTAGAATTATTTTAAGTCGAAGTGCATCTAAACTTCGACATAAGTTATCATTTTCAGGTAAACGCGATGCAAGATGACGAAGCCATTTGATGACTGCTGATAAAGTATCACTTTTTGATTCACTTTTTGTTTCAACTTTAAGATCATTTTCTGTTAATTGATCAAGAAATCGTGGAACAAAATCCTAAAGAAGATTTGCTTTATTTTTCAACAAAGATAAATTAATACTTACAATAATAGGTGCAAAATATTTTTTTATTGTTGATTGTGTTAAATATTCATAACAAAGACCCCATGGTTTAAGTAATGCAACAACAACAGATATTGTTAATTTAGTTTCGGATGAAGTAAAACGAGCAAGAATTTTATCAAAACCACCTAAATGTCCGAATTTATCTATAAAATCAACAAGCCAACCCTAGAATAATTAAACATGAATATAGAATATATTTATAATACGAAAAAACTAATAAAATTCAAAAAAACCCTTCTTTCTAAATATGTATTTTTGTTCACATTTACATCTCATGCTATAAGTATATCTACTTCCGAGTTGTATTTTTATGAAAAGATACATACACGTTGAATTACACGAGACTCCGTTGTCGAAGCAAAAGATTCCGTTCCATGTTGTAGTTGATATGTAGATGCTCGATTGTAATTTGACTGATGATAACTATAATCGATAAAAAAAATTCGTTTTAATATTTAAATTAAAAGAAATATTCTTACCGTCCTTGTGGATTCATCATAAAACTTAAAACTTCAAGCAATGGAAAACAATCATCATCAAGTTTTAATACACATAAATGAATACAAATCATTGCATTCTTATAAATTGCATGCTAAATAAAGAAAAAATTTTTTTTTATCTCGATTCTTATATTTTTATTTCTTTACTAATATATCAAATTTCCATGATTGTACAGCTTCATCACAAAATGTTTTCGTAAATGAAATGACCAGACTATCACGAATAAATCGTTGACATGGTTCACTTTTTGTATCAAGTTCTAACAAAAAATAAAATCTAATAAAAATCTATATATTTTATTTCAACATACTTTCTCGAGCAAGACGAAGAGCAGCTCGTAAACATTTTATTAATTCACCATCAGCTAAAACAGGCACAATCCATCGTACTCGATTGACTTGTTCTTCAAGTTTTGCTAAATCATCCACGGGAAATTTCGGTTCACCATTTTCATCCAAAACTATAAATACAAAAAAAAACAGACATATGTAAATTATAATATGTTAATATTGTTATTTTTACCATTTTCATCTTCTACATCTTCTACTTCATTCTCAGCTTTAATTGAACTTTCATAATCAGGTGGTGGTTGTTGTTGTTGATCATTTGTATTTAGTACTGTTGTTGGTGTTGTTATATTCAGGTCTACTGTTGGTCTTGTTATTCGTTTTTGTCCGCTACTATTCATATGAGATTCGACTAAATCTTCTTTAGCCGTCATTAAAAAAACTTATATAAAATACAGAATAAATGAAGAATGGGCATACAAAATAAAAGAATATCTAGAAAGAAATAAACTTACAAAATTTAACCTGACATGTGTAACAAACATCATGAGTCATTTATGAAAGAAAAACAAAAAACAACAAAATATTCTGGCCATGTCGAAATATTTCGATACTAAAGTAAATAATAACACGATGGTTAACTGAGACATAATAAGGGATTGCCTATTCACGATGAAATTATGTTTTTTTTTCTTTTTTTCTAATTTATTATTGTCATATATCTATCTATATATATATTTATATATAAACATGTTTATCAAGACGACATTTATGATATTTTTGAATAGACACTTAATTTTATTTTAATAAAAATAAATAAATTAAATCAAATAATAGATAGAGAAAAATACTCAAGCCAGCCATTTAAACCAGACGGAAGTCTCACTCAGATGAGTCATACAATGTGAGAAGATAGAAAAGAATTGTTTTTTAACCAGTAACTAGCGACATGATAGTTTTTTTTATTGACAAGTTAAGATGACGCCAGAAGTATATCAAGAAAATAGATATTTTAATTAAGAATTACTAAAAAATAATTCATACAAACTTTTATTATTTTTCCCGCTCCCTCTCTTGTGCTAGACAAACAAGTTATTTTCATTGAAAATATAGAACACTACGCTTGCCTAAAATTACGCTTATAAGACATATTTATCAAAATATTCTCTTAAAATTTTACACATAATCACGTATCATAATCCTTTAAATATCCCTACCACTAAGATAAGATAACTGCTACTGCGTGTATATTCATACAAAACAATTTACATCATCAATTTTCTCTTAATAAAGTCAATATTTTATATTCAAATAAATCTATAAAACAAAAAATGAGTATAATATTTTTCAAATTGAGCTCATATATCTCTTTATATTGATAATGAAAGTCATTTAAGTATTCATAGAAAATAACTATGCGAAAAAACAAATCTTATTTTAATTCTTGTTTATCAATTGAATATGATATCATAAATCGACATATAGTTTAATTTTTATTCACAGTCTAAAAACTATGATAATTTATTCGCCTTGTATATGCGAAAAATGTCAAATACGATACACTATTAATGACAGAAAAAAGTAATTAATATTATAAGATAGGTATGACTGTCATGCAAAAAAATATAATGCTTGATAGGTGTTATTTCGTAGTACGAAATACAAATGACTTGTTATAGTTTTTATCCAAAATTTAACAGTATATACATAATATTTACTAGCAGAACTGATATTTTACATTGCCGATGAGAAATATTGATTAAAAAAAATTTACGCTGATTTCATATTATATATCGTTCAAAAATTGATATTCTTCATTTTTCTTTGTATATATGTTTTATTTTAAGTTTCTTAGCTCATAGAAAAAGCTCTTGATAATAAGATAAGAATCTTATTCTTCAGTTCTTTAATTAATATAATTCTACGTCATAAGCGGATTTAATAGTCTCGAGAATATATATATATATATATACTGACAAAGCATCCAACAGAACAAGAGTAAAAATATTGAAACTGAATATTATTATTATTTTTTCTCAAATTACATAAAACAGTCTATGTAAAGAAATTGCGGATGATGACGATGATTTCTTTCATGTTCAATTCTATGAAAGAGACTACAGTTTGTCGGTACAAGATGAAACAAAATTGAACTCGATCTTTTATATGTACACGAGTTTATTTAATAGGTTCTATCCTGCTGTGCTTGAATTCATTTATCTCTCTGTTTAGTATAACTCACACAAGAGATTGACCTTCTGCTGTACTAATCATCTCCTTTCTTAATATATCATTTTCTTCTTCTCCTCTCTCTCTACAGTTGTATATTATTAATCAACCAGTTAAGTCATATCCCTTTTCTGTTTATAATACATCGTATGATTCGAACACCTACTGAGTTCTAGTAGCCTATTCATTTCTTAGCTTAATGACATAACAAACTTATTTATTTCATAATCAAGTATAAGTTTAATTTAAATATATATCGATAGATGGAACTAGTCTACATATTATATTAAAAAATGATATTTTGATTAATTTTTCTATAAAATTCTAAACTTTTCTAAATTATTATTTCTTTTAAAGAATTTTATTAATATAATTGTGAAAAATACTAGAAATAATACTTCATTGGATCATTTATCGTGCTTATTGTGTTTATTTAGTCATCCTTCTCTCTTTTGCTCGCTCTCTCGCTCTCTCTCTCTTCCTTCTATCTTATCAATTATTGTCTTTTTTTATTCGAGATAAAAAAATGTGTACTATTAATTAAACAATTTTTATGTAGAATTATTATTGGGAAGAATTAAAACGATTTTATTCGAGAAGAAGTATTAAATTTCGAAGAATATTTTCAATAGTAAAAATAAATTTGAATAATTTTCTTTCGAATTAAACAATGAGTATAACATATGATTGGTAAGTTTTTGATAATTTATACTTTCGACAATTGTACATTTCATTAGTTTATTTTGATTTCATATGCGAACATTATTGATGAGTGACCGACGCGAGATATCTTTTAACATTTCTCCTCTTTGCATTATTTTTTCGATGATAAAGATCATTTCTTCTTTTCTACGCTTCACGCAATTGTCTATCCCATTATGAAGCATGCAAAGAAATGTATACATGCACGCATCCTGTCCGACACCGCATATGTGTATATACATATACATATATATATATATTGATCGTAGTCAAGCGTTTCGCTTTTATGAGCAATAATACAGATACTATTCATAGTCTCATTTATTTCAAATGGTCGATCAAGGATGATAATAGACGATAGATGATCATAAAGTTATTGCTAAATAGACATTTTGTTTTTTTTTCTCAAATTCTTTTTTTCACATTTTGTTTTAATTGGATAAGCATAAATTATCGATAATCTGCTATTAATTTACTTCGTTATTTATTAACCTTTATTTATGATGTCATTCTTTGAAGATTATAAGATATTGATGTTTATATTTACTTTATTAACCTGTAGATTATCTGATATATAATCAAAACAAAACTCTTTCTATTTAATCATAAATATAAATATTGAATGTAAATTATTTATTTTTTCTACAATGTTTTGTCTTGTCATTTTTCTCTATAATTGTTGTCGTTCTTCTTCTTCTTCTTCTTCTTTTTTCTTTTCGTCCTTCATCGATAGGGTGTTTTTCATATTAAAGCAACAAATGCTACTTCTTATTCTTGTTCATCATCTACATACCATAGGGATTTTCTTATTCATGTTCTGCATTTTTTCCTGCCTCTTCAACGTTCTCTTAGCATGCATGCATACATAGATGAATATATTCGTTCTATTTATTTTATTTTGGCACTGATTTAGTCTAGCATAACAACAAAATGGAGAAGTACACAGGAAAAAGTCTTAATTACATTTTTATTATCCATTAATATTATTATCACACACTTTCCAGTTCTTTTTATTAATGTTGTTCGTTTAACAAGAAAAACTCATTTGAGATAAATAAGTATATATAATAAAAAAGAGAGAGAGAGAGAAGTATTAGATGCTTGTTAGATTAATTAGTTAAAGAGTTTTCATATCTGATCTATCATGGCTAATCAATCAATCAGTGGATAGTGTGTCATATTTCTTTTTTCTTTCCCTGTCGTCCTTCATTTATAGTCTCTTATTTATCATAATATAGTACCAGAAGCAAATTATAATTGTCATACACTTAAGTATCATTGAGAGACTTGAGATGAAAAAGATGTTCAATATTTATTTCAAGAAACACTTATCTTTTTTTTTCTTCTATTGTAGATCGAATTTATTCTATTATAAATGATGATCTCCTTCAACTATCATAGAACTTTCATTATAATAATGTATGTTAATATTTATTTTATATAAAAAATTAATGAGATATTATTTTTTTTTGCTTTTTTCCAGGTAGTAGTAGTAGAAAATAAACATATTTTTTATTCAATTATGTATGCCGATATGATATGTGATGTAATGCCACCTATACCTGAAGATACTGGTGGTAATGGTAACAATCATGATGGTATGGAATCTGATATGGGTGAAGACGCTGAAGCTAATATTGAACAGTTAATGGTTTCAATGCTTGAAGAACGTGATAAAGTATGAAAGAAAAATGGGTTTTTCTTTTATAAATGACATTTTTCTTTATATAGTTACAAGAAAAATTACGTGATACAGAAGATACATTAAATAATTCTCAAAAAAAATTAACTGACATTGAAAAAGAACGTGATGTTTTAGTTCACCAATTATCTTTAAATGCACCACAGGTTTGTCTAAATGCTTCCTTCGTTTTTTCCTATTTCCATTCACATATTAGACGACTAGTTAATAATAAGCAAGATTATTTATCTGTTGAAATCAATCAATATTAAAGATAAACAACTGTCATTGATATCTGTTTAAAATCTTTCACTTCCGAAACAAGGTTATTTTTAGTCGTCTATATTTATAGTTCTTATCAAATATGCTTGGTTAGGAATTGTTTATTAATATTAATTGAGAACAAATAATAATAATCATCTTCATATATAATTTTCTGATAGTTGAAGGATAATCATAAAACATATTTATTAATCATATTGTTTTCTATTATTTGCAAGTATCATTGGGAATTGACATACACACGCATCACTTGTGATGTAATTTAATATTGTCAATGAAATATGATGCTGTTTTTTGTCAAGACATAAAAATATTATTCTATAAAGTATCTAATTAAAAAAGAAACAAATCTATATATTACTCGTTTATTTTCTTTTGAATTCAAGATAATGCTAAGTAACATAACTTGTTTATTCTCATCTTTTCGACTTGAGGTGTAATATCGACCTTCACTTATAACTCTCTCTCTCTCTCTCCCAGAGAGAACCACACATTGAAATATATTCAACAAGCTAACCGTTTAATGCAAGGTCACATAGATGACAATGCATGATTAATAACGACAATGCTACCCATCAAAAAATGTGTCACGGTGATGATTGAACTATTTCAATAAACAATTTTACCGTGATAATAATTTTTTTACTTCTATTTGCTCTTTTTTAAGTGTAGTAAAGGCAATTTATAAGAAAAGAAGGAGAGAAATAATATAAATAGAGAGAATAGAGAACGAGTAGATCAAAGGAAGAACGACAAATTCGTCAGTTATTTCATTTTTACTACCAAATCAATTACACACACACTCAGGTATATATATATATATCTATATGATCGATATAAATATATATATATATAAATGTTGAATCTCGAGTGTCAATCTATCTCAAATAATAATAATACGACTACTACTAATAATGATCAATGTTGTTATCTACCTAAAATGAGTTCATGCGTCAATCTTTATACTTATTTAACAAATAATATTTCATCGCGTACATCTTTAAATTCTACTGATGATGATATTAGTGATAATGATTTATCTATTGATACAAATCCATTAACAATCACAAGTTCGGAAAGTAGTGATAGTGCGATTGTATCCGATGACGTTGATGATATAGATAATTCTAATCATCAACAAATCGAATCTTATAACTCATGGCCAGAAAGACTTGAAAAAGCTGAATTATCATCATTTTCTTCATTATCACATTCATTTTATTTGTTAAATCAATTTGATTATCAAGATGTTTATGATAATTATTCATCAATATCAAAATATAAACATCCATTGCCTCGGACAAGTTCTATGCATAATTACTTATATTCTAAGAAGGTTGTTTGATATTATTTGATAATGAAAAACAAAAAACAAAAAAATATAATTAACGATGAATCTTTTTCTTTTTTTTTGTTGTTTAGGATTATGTTACAGTTGTTCGTGAATCAGCACAATTACGTGAACAATTACATGAAAAAGAAGATGAAGTATTAGAACTTAAAGCTGAACGAAATAATACACGAGTAAAGCAAAAGGAATATATTTAAAGATTATATATGCATGTATATATTTAGTTACTTCTTGAACATTTGGAACAACTTGTAGCTCGACATGAACGTTCAATACGAACAACTGTTATGCGTAGACAAGCTCAAGGTGTTTCGTCCGAAGTTGAAGTACTTAAAGCACTAAAATCACTATTTGAACATCATAAAGCTCTAGATGAAAAAGTAAACTATTATTATTTATGTTAAAATAATATCATTTGACATTTACTTCTTCGATTTTTTTTGTTTAGGTACGAGAAAGATTAAAAGTTGAAATCGAAAAAAATACACAACTTAAAGATGAACTTGAACGAACAAAGAATGAAGTAAGTATATAACTAATCATTGAAAAAAAGACAACTTTAATGGAAATACTGATCCATTTATGTATCGCTCTGTTTTTATGGTATTAATGTTACTTAATTCAATTTGAATATATATATTCAGATTTGTTTTGCTATTGGATAGTATAAAATGACTATGATAATCATATAAGAATATTTGTTAGATTATTATGAGTGAGCTAAGTTCGAAGAATGTAACTCTGATGCTGTACGCTTTTGAAAGGTTCTTTCTATTATCGTCATGGACATATTCTATAGTTAATATTGGTAAATTTCCATATAACTATATTTGGACCAAATCATTTTCTGATTTCGATTGAGATATATTTTTAGCAGAAAATAGAAATTAATCTTTTGTCAACATCATTAAATTTGAGGTATACTACAGTTACACAGCATCTTATTTTTATCTCTAAGATTAATTCTCATAATAGACATCGAGTTATATATTATTTTTTAATCGCAATATTATCATAGCCTACTACTGATCAGTAATAGAAGTAAATATTTTTATCGCATATAAATACGTATGCAGTTCCTGTATTATCATCAGTAGTATCTTCCTATTTTGTTGTTTTTCATTGAATTTAAATTCAATACATATGCTTTTTGAGATATCCTACGCTTATGCATTAGTTCTAACGGAAAAGACATTAGTAAAAGCGATCAATTCTTCTTAATGTTTCCCATACGTTTATTTATTTTTTTCCGCTAATCATGATATACAATAATTATGAATAATCATAGTTCTAATCTTCTTGACATACAATATTTTTTAGCTTGCTGGTGTTCGTGAAACTCAGTCATCTAAATTAATTGATATTGATCAATTAAAAGTAAATATCTGAAGAAAAAAAAAAATTTTTTTTTGTCTAATTAATTTTATCTTTTAGAATATGTCAAATGGTACAATTGATCCGGATTCATTATCTGGTAAATTAATTGAAATGCAAGAATTAATGGATAATCAATGTAATGAATTAATATCAGCACGTGCACGTATTCATGAATTAATCAATCGTAATAAAGAATTAGAAGAACGTGCACTTTTAATTCAACGTGATTTATCTCATACACATGATCAAGTCAATAAATATCAACGAGATTTAAAAGAATCTCATGCACAAAAAGAAGATCAAGAAGAACGAATATCAACATTGGAAAAACGTTATTTAAATATACAAAAAGAAACAGCACATTTAACTGAATTTAATAATCGATTAGAAAATGAATTAGCAACAAAAGAAAGTCAACTTCAACATGTAAATTTTTATTTGAAACAAAAGAATGAAATCCGTTCATTTTTATTTTAGACTGAAGAGAAATATCATAATTTACAAGATAAATATGATTTATTAGACCAAAAACTTCAAAATCAAAGTGATTTTAATTTATCCATTAAACAAAATGGAAATTCTTATTCAAATAATGAAGATAAATTACATCAACTTCAAAATGAATATGATGATTTAAAAATCGAATTAACACGAGTAAGAATTATTTCTTATAGAAAATAAATGTAGTTACAATTCAGCTTGATTGTAAATAGTTCCCATAATTGATGTGACAAGAATAGTAAAAGTTAGTCGTTATTCAACACGATAAATCTCATCATCAAGATTTCGTAGTATTGTTATAATAATATTATGACTAAAGAAGAAGACTAGATTATAAATGTATAGTCCTGGATAAAATCAGAGGCGTACCGACTAAGGCGTAACGTTCGCTGTCGTTGACATGAACGATTGTACTATGCCCCTCCTCTTGCTTTTAGAGTTCGTTCATGTAACGATCCTGTGTCTATGATTAATATACTCAATGACCCACGTGCTTCGGTACGCCCCAGTGGCGGATCTAGGATTTTGAAAGGAGGGAGGTGGACGATTTTGGCTAAAAGCTATGTTTTGAGTCCAATCAAAGCAGTGTGAACCTATTTTTGCTGTGAAAAATCAAAAAAAATTCGGCAGGGGAGGGCGATCACCCCCTAAATTCGCCACTAGTACGCCCATAGATTGAACCGAAAGCTCTTATCAGCTGAAGAACTACTAATTCGTTTAGATCTAATTTGTATCAATAAATAACGATAATATTGACTCTATATGTATATATATGTAAACGTGAAAAGGAAGTCATATCGGGCTCAATCCACCTAAGAGCAACTTAATTTATAGCTGTTGTTAAGTGATAAAATGTTTTTTTTATTAAGGCTCGTCAACGTGAAAAAGTCACTGATGAACATAATACACGTTTATCTGCAACTGTTGATAAATTACTTGCGGAATCTAATGAACGTTTACAAATACAATTAAAAGAACGTATGCAAGTATTAGAAGAAAAAAATAATCTAGTACAAGAAAGTGAAAAACTTCGCAAACAATTAGATGAAACACAAAATGATCGAGTAAATAAATAAATAATTTTATTTTCTATAAAAAAATTTTATTGAATTATTTTTAGAAAAAATTATTAGATGATATTGATAAACTTAGAATTGAACTTGAAAATGTTCGAAAAGAATTACAAAATTTAAAACAACAAAAAACGTAAAATTATTATTATTTTTTCAAAAATAAATTTTATCTTTTATTTCTAGTGAAACACCCGTAAATTCTGTACAGAACAATATCAATACTATTGCACAATCTATTCCAATCTCACCAGATTCATTAAATAGACGAAGAGTTATAACAGTACCGGCTCTAAATGAGCATATGTTTAAGGTATGATTTTTTACATTTAGTTAATTAATCTTTCTTTTTATTTATTAGCCAACTGAAGCTGATTGGGATACGATTGATCAAGCTCAAGTAATTAATGATGTTCGTCTAGCATTTGAATCATCTGATGTTGAATTAACAACTGATGATGAAGATTCTTTATATCAACAACAACATCATCATCCGGTGACACATAATAATGGTTCTACACATCATCATTCAGGTGATGCTCAAACATTAGCACTTGTTCTTCAAGAACAACTTGATGCAATTAATAATGAAATTCGTATAATTCAAGCTGAAAAAGCAAATGCTGAATTACGTGCTGAAGAACTTGAATCACGTGTTGTTGGAACGTCAGTTTATCATTTAGATCATGAAGATAATGAAGACAATGATGATGATAATGATTTAAATTATCAACATCGTTCAATGGCATTAACGAATGGAAATCATCATCATCATCATCATCCTCCTAATCATTATCGTTCACATTTAGCACAACATTATTTAAGAAATTCTTCACCAACAGTACCATTAAATACACATAATAATTATTCAGGACGATTATCATCACGTGTATCACCAAATGGACAAAATTATAAATATAATACTGTAAAAAAACAATATTCTTCTTAATAATTTAAAATTTTTTATTTTCTTCTAGGCTCCTTCTAGTATATCTCCATCACATATGTATGCATTAGATTCTAATGTAAGTTAAATTTCAAAGTAGTTTTTTTTATTATTTCAAATACAAACACATAATAGGGTTATGATCAAACTATTCATCAACATCATCAGCAACAACAACAACAACAACAATCTCCACGTTCATTTCGTAATGATTACAGTACTTCATCACGTTATTTAAAATGTGATTCAAGTCCACCAGTAACTCCAACAAGAGTTGCAGCAAATATTCGAACAGCTACACCACATCATGTATATCAGTCGTCTTCTAGTATACAAAATCAATATAGAATTAGTACAGCACCATCATCAAGAACAAATGCACAACAGATTGATGATAATACTAGGCATTATTTGTAAGAATATAATTCTTGCTTATATTCATTCGAGGTTTTTATGGATAATGAGATATTTTCTTTATTCTAAGAAAATTATATAGACATACGTTAATCTTATTTTCTCTCCTCCGATTAATAAAGATAAATCCGATTAGGAACTATTTTGAAAACTAATATATATATATATCGTTGTTGTTGTTAAATGATGATGATGATTTAGAAACAAATGGAATATTTATCCTGAATCCAAGAGAGAAAAAACCGCAGTCGAGACTCTACTTATGTACCACCTTGAATATTCGGATATATCTTCAAATCCACTATTTCCTTTTTTGGCTTGATTGACTAGATAATAGTTATACAAAGTTTTTTTGAAAATAACTAATACAAGCCAAATATATATATATGGTATTATTTTGTAACTCGGAATGATTACAAATATGTGCTAATACTTTCGAACATTATTTATCATAGTTTTTTATAAACTAAAATAAATGTTCAAACTACTGATGGGATTAGAAAATTGGATTCTTTCTCATAAACCGTATCGGAGATACCTTGTCAAGAAATTCATTATAAGGCCGTGCAGAATCGCAGTTTCCAAGACCACCAAGCGAGTTTCATTCATGTATCAATTACATATATGAGGTTAATTAATGGTGACTGATGAAGTGACCTTCAAATATTGACTAAAACTTATTCATTATAGATACATTCCATCAGTCCTGCAGCGAGTATACTCAGTACTCTGTTATTGATAAAAAAAAATATCGGTTCAATTGCTAAGAACAAAATCGAGACATTGTAACTAAACAAAAAAAAAACTCATGAAAAGTTTTTCTTTGCCCTGATATTACTAATTGCATGTGAATCCAGGTATCAAAAACGAAATACATTTCCTCAAAGAAAGACCAAGAAGATAATTATCTCTTTAACCTTTCTAAATATATTACTATTACAGAGTAGTTCCACGTTAATCAAAAAATATTCCCCGTTTTTACTCGAAAATTTCTTTTCAATCAAATCGAAGACTTATCATTAGATTTGTTTTTTTACTAATAACAATTCGTTTTTAGAACAAATTCATCTCCTCATCAACCAACATCTTTATCATTAATAAATCATCAAGATTCACCCAGTCCAATAAGTTCACAAAATTCGACATCAGGTGATGATAATGGACTTTTTAATCGTAGTCAACAACAAAGAAAAAAAGGTATTCGAAATTCACTTGGACGTTTATTTACACGTAAACCTGATTTTATTGATAATAAACCAATACATGAAAATATGCTATCATCATCTTATATTACTCATGGTAAATCTTTTCTTTTATTTAGACAAAACAAAAAATAACGATTTTTTATTTTAGGATCACCTGTACCAACAGATGATAATGATATAACTGAATCAACAACAACTAGTGCAACAATAAGTTTAGGTGCAACTGAATTCGATCGACGTTTAAAGAAAAAGTAAGTGAATCAGTTGAAATTTAAAAGAAAATAGAATTCGTTTTTTTCTACATTTCTTTAGACAAGAATTACTTGAAGATGCTGTACGAAATAATCGATCATTTGCAACATGGGATGGCGCAACTGTTGTTGCTTGGCTTGAAGTATATATTTTGATTCTTATTAATTAATAATAAATTTTCGTCTTGTTTCTTTTCTTATTAAGTTATGGGTTAAAATGCCAGCATGGTATGTTGCAGCATGTCGAGCTAATGTTAAATCAGGTGCTATTATGTCAGAATTAAATGATGAAGAAATTCAACGACAAATTGGTATTAGTAATCCATTACATCGATTAAAATTACGTTTAGCTATACAAGAAGTATTAAATTTAACATCACCAAGTGGTCCTCGAACTGCAATCACTGTACGTATTGAATTAATCAGCATCAAATACGATTCTTGATGATAAGAAGATTGAATAGAAGAGATATCATTCAGTTCGATAGTATTCGGCTAGTACTATATCAAAGGCAAATATTGATTTACAGGTTTCATGTTTATACTACAAAAAATCATCGTCCTACAAACTTGATAATAGTTCATATTTTAAGATTTTGGAAAAAGATCACTCTCTTTAGTAAAATACTACTTTATGATTATGAGAAATCCGATGTAATGATAAGATCTAATAATTCTTTATCTTTATTTAAAGTCATTAACTTTTGGTGAAATGGATCATGAATGGATTGGTAATGAATGGTTACCAAGTTTAGGTTTACCACAATATCGTTCATATTTTATGGAATGTCTTGTTGATGCACGAATGCTTGAACATTTAAATAAAAAAGATTTAAGTAAACAATTAAAAATGGTTGATAATTTTCATCGGTAAGAAAAACACACAAATAAAATATTTATTTGGCAAAATAATTTTCTTTAATTTTTAGAACTAGCTTCCATTATGGTATTCAAGTATTAAAACGTCTTAATTATGAAAAGAAAGAACTTGATCAAAGACGTGAACAATCTCTCAATGAAAACCAAGATGTTATTGTATGGACAAATGAAAGAATTATACAATGGTTAACTACAATAAATGGATTAAAAGAATATGCAAATAATATAACCGAAACTGGTATACATGGTGGACTTATTGCACTTGATGAAACGTTTGATTATAATGCATTAGCATTAGCTTTGCAAATACCAAATCAACAAATAACCGTAAGAAATAATATTTATAAGAAGATCTCTACGTGTCGTTTTTTTTTAGACACGACAGATTCTTGAACGAGAACTTCGTCTTTTAATTGCTAATGGTACAGAACGAAAAATGGATGAAGTAAGTTAAAAAACGATTTATTTGACTTGTATTAGTAAAAACGAATAACTATATAAAAAAATAACAATTTTTTGAATATTTTCAGTCTGACAAATAGTCATAACTCCGAGGGTAAATTAGCTAATACTATGTTTGTTTTGATATCTTCTCCTGCTTATGATTTCACCAATCAAAATTGCCTTCTTTTCCTTCTTAGTTTACCTTTAAAATACAGAATGAATGAAAATATTTTCTTTAGAATGATCGAGCAAGATTAAAACGACATCCATCGTTATTTTCTCGAAAATTAAAATTAAAAACAATTAATGGAGATTTACAACAACAACAGAATGGAATTAATGTATCCCATACTAATCATAATGATAACAATTGACTTTCAAAACAAAATGCACTTGTTCAGATGAATGGAAATTTTCTCTCATAACATCGAATAATCTCACTGTGTTTATATCTGTCTGTGTGTGTGCGTGCGTGTGTGCAATTTTTGGTTTTCTTTTCTGCGATTGTTGTCATATAAATATCTATTTTTTGGTTTTTCTTGTTAATGTTGAATACATATGTTTCGTTCTTTCTTTCATATTTACTTAAAGATGTATTATATGTAAGTTCGAACATAACATATTTCATCATTTGTTTCCTATGTCGGATGTGTTTATGCAATAAATAATAAATTCATTATTAATTTTTGTTTTTGTAAACCGATAAGTGCAGACACTATAGTAGGACATATAGTTTTCAGTGTTTTCCCGTGTATCTGTTTCGAAACCGAGTTAAATCTCTTCCATCATATCTTATCTAATATTCATAGATACGTATGTATTTTTTCTTCTTTCTTGTTGTTATGCAACTGATTGAATTCGAAATCATTATTTTAAATGCGTCACAAGACAATTTTGTTTTTTTTTGTATACGATATCTTTTCTTACGCTCTCTTCTCCTTTGTTTTTTTTTCTGTTCTATGGTATTTATTATTGATTTCATTTGTTGTTGTTTTTTTCTTCTCTCTCTCTCTTTTTTTTGTCTTACTTAAATTGTGTATTCCTAATGATATTTGTAATCTATGCAGTTTTGAACAAATTGCATATGAATCTAAAATTGTTTTGTATGTTATATAAAAACAAACATGTGAAATAATTTTCTTCTGTTTTTTTTGGATAATTGTTGCGTCAATTTTTCTTTTTTGTTTGTATGTTGCTCTAATTGTTTGTTTTCTTTTTGTTGCTTGAGAGCATAATGGAAATTTTACAATAGATCGAAAATAATAATTTCGATAGAATTGTATTTCATTGAAAAGAACAAATATAGAATTGAGTTGTTTTTTGATAATAGAATAATTGTTTACTCATATTATGGTTACAAATGAATTCAATAAAAAAACCATTTTCTAATGGATAAGATTAGACATGACCCAAACTGTTTGAGTTTGGGTTTGAATTTAGGTATTGGGTTTGAGTTCGGGTTTGTGCTTTTTTAATCTGTAGACGATACTATTTTGGATACATTGATGGCAATTAAAAGAAGACCCAAACTCGAACTCCGAAACGGTTTGAATTTGAGTTTGGGTCATGTCTAGATAAGATATGTATGTTAAATGTAACTATTTGAATATCTGTAAGTATAATCTTATTGCATATAGGCAATCTAGATTTGGGCTTAGTATAACTGAAGTGAAGATCAAACTCAAATGTTCAAGTTCGATACATGCTGATACAATAATATTTTGTATTGTAATATATTCATTATTTATTTGTTTAAATATTATACATACATAAATCAATAGCATTTATTGAAAACGAACAGGACAAGATTCTTTTTTTTTATCTCGTTACAACATTAAATCATATTGAACAAATTCTATATATGATACGAACGTTCTAGACCTGGTTTTATTTTTAAAATAAATATTTTTTCTATGTCTATTTAATATTATTTTTGAATAAAGCGAATATTTTAAAACTATAACTGCCTAATATTTTATTATAACTGTATTAGGAGAAAAAGAACGGTTACTTATACAAGTGTTACATCCCGTGAAATACAAGATATATTCATTCCATCATTATATCGTCTTGGTACATCATATAAAGCTGATATTGATTGTTGATCAGGAAATGCATGTATATGATACTGTTCAAGTGGTCCATTACCAGATATAATTGTTGATTCTAATGGTAAATGATTTTCTGATACATCGGAACTTCCTGAATAACCTTCATCATCACGTGCTGGACTTAATGATGATAATGGTGGTGATGATTTTTGTATTAAATATATTGGTGTACTTCTTGATGATGGTGCTAATTCATAATCATCATGTACTCTTAATTTTGAAATACTTGGAAATGCATCATATTCTATAAAAGATAGATTATGACGTAATCAAAAAAAAGATTTCAATTAATTTCTATAAAAAAAAAGTGCACTTACTGTTATAATGACCCTTATCATCTTCACTATTGTCATATGTTGATAATGATGACGTATTCTAAAAAAGGTACAATATAAGATGAAAATGACATATTCTAATGTATTTAGTCTAGTGCTCGGACTTTAGCTTTGTTAATCTAAACTTTATACACCTCATGATACTAACTCAATATTAGTCATTCTAACCTGTTTATCAAAACATAATTGATTGAATTTATAGTGTTTTTGTTTAATAATAGTTATGGCAACAATGATTATTCCAATAACGACTAAAATACTTAATATAATAGGCATAATAGCGATCCATTGCGATTGAGTAAATGTTGATCGATGAATGATTTCATCTTCGTTTTCTCCAATAAGTTCGAGTAAAAATGTATCTTGAAAATTTTCTCGTTGAATAAGTTCAACATTGAATAAATATTGACCTTTTGGTGGTTTTACTAAAGATATAATTGTACAATTCGATAAAAGTTGAAAATAATCTTCAATTATTGTTTGAGGTCGACAAAATGTTGAATTAAATATATGTACAAATGAAAATTTCTTTCGATTAATAATCAAATTTTTATTTATTAAAAATGGTATATTTCCATATTGATCCAGTAATCTTACGAAAATTTTTACTTTAAAATGATTATTTATAAAAAGATGAATCATGTATATGCTTTGTTCAATTCGATTAAATTTTCCTATTGAAAATAAATCACCTGTTTGAGAATCCATATAAAATTTTTCTTTATCATCTATTGAATAAGTAAGATTTTCACAAAATTTATTTGTTATTTTATGCATTAAAAGTGTTTTATCCGATAAATTATCTTTTACATCAATAATATAATTTTTTTGATTAAATGATAAATTACATAAATATTCATTTGATTTCATATAAAATCTATATGATTGATTTGTGCATAATATGGGTTGATCATTATCACATGAATTTAATAGTAAATAATAATAATCTTGATGAATTAATTGTGAATTATTTTTTGTTGATAATATATAGATTAAATCATTTTTAAATTGTCGAATTAATTGTATTTGAAAATGTTCGGTATCATTTAAAGATAAACTTAAATATTGTGTTGAATCATCAGGATCTTTTATATTTATTGTTGCAAATGGTGTTGAAGAAGATTTTAAATCATATTTTATTATATTAAATTCATATAAAACTGACGGATAAATAATTAAATTTATTTCAGGTGGATTATCATTGATATTTATAATATGAATTATTAATTCACTAAAACAAGGTGCAATTATTGATGATGAACGTGCTTCAATGGTTAATTTATAAATTGATATTGTTTCATAATCAACAGCATTCAATAGAATTAATTCACCTGTAAGAGAATTTAAATAGAATGTTTTATTTGTATCTCCATGAAGTTCATATTGTATTGATAATGATGGAGATGAAGTAGCTTTTATTAAACCAATTTTTGTATAAACTTGTGTTGATTCAGGTATTTGTATATCGTAAGAATCACGATCAAAATAAAGATATATTGCATTTGTGAAATAAATTAGAAATAATAAACGTAGGAGAATCATCTGTGAAAGAAACAAAATGTAATATCTCGTCTGTCCTAGTGATATTTAATAATAAGCGACAACTGTGTCATGTTGATCAATAAAGATCTTACCTTGATCTGTGTGTTAATCTCATACTGTGATCTGACACAATGCATATGTATTTGTTCATTAGAAAGAGAGAGAGAGAGAAAAAAAAGCCGAATACGAGGTCGTCTATTCCAAGAATGATAAAAAAAGGCAGAATAGAATTGATACGATAAACAGAACGATGTCTGTACAGTGAAGGGCATCGATTTACAAAAAAAGAGACGACGAATACTTTCTGAGAATAATGTTTTGACTTTTCAATCATATGTCCATCAAAGAAATAAATGAACATATTCTGTTGATTTCATATGGATACATCAGAAAAAAAAGAGTTGTACTTCTTTTTTTTTGATCTAGTTCATTGAACTAATATACTAGCCGATGGCATTTAAGTTTATTTTTCTTCTATAATTGATGACGATAATAAGGTTATACAGCTCAATCTAGACACTAGGAGGTATGACGGACATTGCTCTATTTTTATCCGGTTTGAAATTAATAGGAAATTATTGTTTTAACTAGGTTAAACGATCATATCCTGCTCTCCTTCTTTTTTTTTCAATGTCATTTATAGACAGAGAAAAAAAAATTTGACATATACTTGTTACTAAAAGAAAAAGGAGATTATTGTGTCTACACCTACTACTACACTTACTGTTAATTAGACATAATATTTATAGGTATAGAAGTGTATGTATGACCGTGGTACTATTATATACGTGATCCTACTCGTGCAATTTGTCTTCAATAATGATGCGAATAGGATTATGAATCACTTTATGTCTATACTAAACACGACAGTATAGTACCTTATGTCTTTTCTCTTTCTCTATTATGAGTGCTCTTATTAGTATAATTGTGAAAGAAGAAAAAAAAAAAAGGACGAGACACAAATGAATTTGTTGAATTGTACATTAAAGGCTCAAGAGAAAAAGACACTTGTAATCTCCTACTGATGATAATGATAAATGAGCCTTGTATACATCTTATAGGTGTACATACATTTTTTCTTTTGCCATCTAATCGGCATCGTTAGCATATATAGAATTGAAGATAATATCTTTACAGATTCAATCAACTTTATCGGCATGCATAGATTGTTTAACAAAACAAATGAAAGACATTGCCTTTAAACACGTCTTGTACTATTCAGTGGTATATATATATATACTCTGTGGGCTACTTTATACTTAACTTTTACTTGTATGAAGAAAAAAAACAACGTTCATTCATTCTTTTGAAATATATATATTAAGTGGACAAACACAAATGTTCTTTTATATTCAGATGATTGACAGAAGAAAAAAAACATTTTCGTTTTATTTTTGCAATAAATATATATTATTTATTGAAACATGTTACAATCTTTAGAAATTATGAATATACGATTGTGTGACTTTGATTGAAAAGAAAGTATTTCTTGTATTTGAACTTTTGACATGTCATTGATTGACTATTGTTATTCATTAATATAAGTGTATACAAACCAGATGGTCTATTTTTCGATGAAAATCTTCAAATGATTATAAATGATGATCATATCTATTCTTCCATTTATAATCGAAAAGAAATAAAAGATGATAAATGTGCTCCATTATCACAAGTATTTATGTGTTGAAATGATATGTCTATCGATTAGGAAAACAAATAAGTAATTCGAATGAACCTGATTTAGTACCATGATATGTAATTTTTGAAGTAACGATTATAATATATCAATCATGTAGTAATAAATCAATATTCAATGCAAATTGAAACTTGAACTATGAGACTATTTAAAAAACATATCATGTTATAGTAAAGCTTGATAATATATACTTCTCATGTTCAACATAAAATATCTGCGATAAAGATTCATCATATGAATAAATAAACTATTTTTGAACTATGTAGCCGCATTGGTAGAAGAGAGATAAAATCCTGACTGATCAATAGTATCTCGTAATAAATGTTCATTATTACTATTGAGATGTAGAAGTGAGTGAGTTCAATTTATAATCAAAATTCGAATGATCTACTAAAAATGAATAATTTAACATTGATATTACTAGACATTATATCACAAATTTTCTCTATAACAATGAACAGAAAACACAAAAATGGTAAAAAGTAATCAGACTCAACGAGAAACTGATCTGATTCATACACCTTTATGAAGCCCTATCGGTATAGACTGCTAACTATCCAAATCAATTCCAGTCTTTCTATATAATATTGGTATCTGAATTTCCTTACCAATTTCCTCAAATGTTTAATTTTTCAGCTCAAAAATCTTATTCATTGATGTTTAAGTTTTCGTAACTAAATCTATTGTTGAATATGTACTAACGAGAAAAGAAGAGAATACTTTATATTTTCAATCATTTTTAAGATAAAAAAAGAAACAAGATAAAATTATCGAATAGATATTAGAAAATTGTTTCTACAATGATGATCGTATTGCATCATCTATATATTTAAATTTCATTGATATGTAAGATGAAATCAAATCCTTATTTGATGTTTCGTTAAGATAAAAATCAAACATTACTATCAACTAAATACGAATCAAAATAAAAAGAATTACTAAACAGAAGACAATGAATGAATTTCATACAAATGATTATCTTATAAACTCAAACGATTGGAATATTTCACAAGAAATTAATTATTCAACTAATCAATCTCAATTTATTGAATTATCTAATGTACATCATAATCTATCTTATTCCAATGATATTCAATCAAATACTTTAAATCTTCCAGCTACATCCACAATGATATGTAATATAGAATTACAAGATAATTCTTCTAGGTTTGGATAATAAAGAAAAAACATTTTCTTTTAAAAAAAATTTCTTTAGATTTCATACTATACCAAATATAAATTCACCAAAATATCAATGGTAAATTCAATGGATTATTGTAATTTAATCTATTTATTCTTATTAGTCTTGTTTGTAATGATTTCTCAACTTCACATCATTATGGTGTTCGAACATGTGAAGGATGTAAAGGTTTTTTTAAAGTAAGATTATAATTTAAATATATATATATAATAGGAAAATCTTCTTCTAGCGAACAATACAAAAAAATGCTAAATATGTTTGTTTGTCTGATAAAAAATGTCATGTTGATAAACGTCGACGTAATCGATGTCAAGTATATAATATTATTTTAAAATTCATATTAGGAATTTATTAATTTAATGTGATATTGTTGTTATTGTTTTCTTTTTACAGTGGTGTCGATTTCAAAAATGTTTAGCAGTTGGAATGATAAAAGAAGTTGTGCGTACAAATGAATTAAAAGGTCGTCGTGGTCGATTACCATCAAAATATCATCTATCAAATCATCTGGAAATTCAAACAAATAAAACTGAACAAAAAAAATTATCAATTGAAATATGATGAAAATTATTTATTGAATAAATTAATACACTTTTCTATTCATTATTTTATTTGGTGACAATAGAATGAAAAACGTAATAAAATGCTTTTATGTTTTACGTTCCATTATTTTCTGTTAGAATTCTATTTACGAATCAAAAGTTCACAGTGACATATCTTAAGGAAAATAAGTAGATATAATTTCATGTTCTAGGATAATATTATCAGATCGATAATCTGTATTTTATATTCTAAATGTAATTGAAATACAATAGTACTAGTAAGAGTGAAAGTATAACGGTAATAGCATCTGAGATCAGACAAATTATCTATATATAGAGTAGCTAATGTCACTGTCATCCTCGGATGATACTTTCTAAAAATAAAATCTTGTCAAGACGAGTCAAGATTAGATCTAACCTGAAAGTTTTTCTTTTACAGTTTAATTACTGTCAAGACACTTGAAATCGTATGTACTTAAATAAATTATTCTTTAATGAAAAAACTTTTACAGATGATGACGTTATTTAAATATCATTAGACTTTTAAAAACACTTATATTCAAAATTTACACTTAATTCAATAAAATACAGAAAAAACAAATAAAAATGTTATTCTTATTATTTAAAAAATTTAAAAACATGTATGTTTTTTTCTTTTTTTTATTTAGTGTAAGAAGAATTTTTATTTTATTTTATTATATTCATATCATTAATATAATGATAAATATTCCGCCTTTTTTTTCTTCTTTGTCTGTATTGCGATGAAAATATTATCTTCTATGCAATCGGCATTATCATCGAGGGATGCGAGTGGCTCGTATTACACTCATCTATATCTTGAAGGTAGAAGAAGAGAAAAAGAAAATAAAGCATCTCTTAGATTCTCATACAAACTAACAACAACAACATTTATTTTCGAAATACAAAGACAAAACATCATAGTTTCATATGATGATGATGATTTCGATTTCTAATGTCTGGAAAAAGAATAAATATCAATGATTATTGATTCCAAAAAAAAAACCGTTGATTTTCTTTTTTTTTCGCAGAAGAATGAAAGAAAAAAAGTATACTGTGTGACCGTCCATATTACGTCTGATGATAAGAGAATGAAAATTTCATAGTATTAGTATTGTCAGGTTATTACAACATTACATCATCATTTTTCTTTTCTATTCTGTAATTTTTCTTTTTCGTTGTCTGAATATAAATAACATCAGCAATTCAATGATTGAAATTACAATAGGGTAGAATAAGCATATAAATACTACCGATAAGGTAAGCAAGTTTCTTTCCCTACATTTCCTTTTTTTCCTCTCCCCCCGTCTCTCTCTCTCTACCATGTTGTGTCTCAATTATATAAAAAAAAATGATTGGAATAACAAAAACAAGGACTTTAACCCCCCCAAGTAAAACTAAATAACAGATACAAAACACAGACGCGTGGTGTTTGGCAGATCGCCACTTTGTTTTTTGTATGCATTGAAAGGAAGAAGAAGAAAAAAAAAGGAATATAAAGACATTCGAGATTTTTTTTTCTTTCCACCTTCCAATAACTATTTTTTTGTTTATCAGTCTAGTCGTTCTGTATTCACTTTTTCCCTGACTTTCTTCTCGTTTTTTTTATATGTTGTTATTGTCGTCATTATTGTGTTGCTCATCTCCTTAGATTCTTGTTTTTTTTTCTTCTTCCTCATATATATTCTAACTATTAACTGGAAAGAAACTTTGATTTTGATTCGTTGAATCTCTATATCAAAGTAAATGAAAGAAATCAACAAAAGAAAAAAGTTATTTATATCTTCTAACGATGAGTTAAATAAATATTCAATAAAAAATGACTAAAGAGTACTTAATACATGAGACAAAATAGATCAAGATATAAATCTTAACTTTTTATAAGACGTATGTAGAAATCGAAATAAATTCAAATTGTACCCATAAAGTTTATACTGGAAATTATGAAGTCTGATTGGGAGGAGAAAATCAAAAAACGAAGAACTGATGTAACAGGATATACTACTATTACATTCGGCACGTTTCTTCGATTATCGATTCATGATTATCCATTAATATCCGACAATACACATTTATCAAAAAAAGATAAAAAAAGGCAACAATATTTCCATTTCTTTTTTTTATTCAAATAATATTCTCTTCGAGAATTTTAAAGTTAGAATTTCTTGATAAATAAATAAATAGGGTCATTAAACTATAGGTCATCATTTCTCTTACAAAATGTGGCAATGACCGCGCTGTGCTCTTTCGATTCTAATCGTACCTTTGTCGAAACAACACGTTCTCTTTCTTTCCAGCTATTGTTATAAATAAATATATATTGAATAAATCAAAGACAATATATATTTATATATGATTAGCTATTAACTAAATAAAAGAAAAGATTAATTCGTATTTTTGATTTTAATTTATTATTTCAAAGTACAATCGAATGTAAAGGAACAAGTAGATATTATCTGCTTCTACAAATGTTATTCGATGTGTAACGTTGTAGAAAAAAAAAAAAAAAAGAATTTTTCTTGTTCTTGTTCTTTTTTTTCCTCCTTTGCTTTCTTTTCGTTCTCTTCTCATATTGTCAGACGAAGCAAGTGAGGCTTTTGATAGTTTTGATCGGTTACATTTTCTCTTTCTCTTTTCTTTTGCTTACACCAAAAAGAAAGAAAGAACCAAGTGACAGTGACATATCGACGCTCGGAGAAAAAGAGAAGTACCTATCTAAGAAAGAAACGAGGAAACATCTACCACTCGCACCATCAGATAGACGCTTGACTGGTGCAACTGATTCTTTCTCCTTCTCGCGCGTTTTTTTTTATTCTGTTCGTTCGTTTATGCTACTGTTGTACGACGTTTTGACGTATGTCTTTTTTTTTCTTCTTCTTCTTCTCTTCCTTTCTTCCTCTCGTTTGTTGTGTTGGATGCTGTCTCTTTCTCTCAGTTGCTTACAAACGCGATTATTACTCTTTTAGATGATTTAGTCGATTATTTTCATAAAAAACTAAACAAGTTGCTCATCAATGGATGACTGGCAAATTCCACAAGCACAACAGCAGCAGCAGCAGCAGCAACAACAACAGCAAAGAATATCTATGAACAGTATTGGTCCAATTCATAGTAGTTATCAGTCGATACGTACAAGACCTTCACCATATCCAATGAATGAAATTAAACAACATTATCATTATCAACAACAACAACAACAAACATCAACAATACCAGTTAAAACTAATTCAAATTCTGTAAATTTGAAATATTTTTATAAAACAAAAATAATCATTTTTCTTTTTTTTTCTTCTCTTAAGAATGTTTATAATTCTCTTCCTTATACACCTACTCATATGGAACAAATTCCACATCAACAACGCATGATCACTACAAAATCTAGTTCCGGTCCCATATCTACTTATAATGCTGGACAACAACAAATAATGTCAGCTCGAGCACGTTCAATGCCATATTCAACACCATCTTCTATGTATAATCATTCTTCTGGTTCAATTTGTCAATGTACTTCACATATGCAGCATTATCCAACACAACAACATCAAATGTATTATCAAAATTATTATCAATCACAACCAATATCTTATCAACAAAATTCAAATTCAATGAAATATGAAACAATAAAAAATAAAGTTAAACTACAATCTGAAGAATCTGTTTCATCATCAGCTGCAGCAGCATCTTATCATCCATCAATTTGTACAAATTCATATATACCAGCTCAACAATTACCACCACAATCAACAACTATGTCACAAGAATATCAAACATTTTCAAATCAATCACAAATATTTCCTAGTCCACCAAGTAATCCAAGTACACCTTATCAAGGTGAATTTAATGGTAATACTGAATTCGGTGTTCCATATCATCAAGGACAACCAAGTTCAGTTAATTCACTTACAGATGCACTATGTCCTAGCGGTGATACAACTGATCGTCAAATGACACCTGGTCCACCGGTAAATTAAAAGCTTTTTTTGCATTCTTTATTATATATATATATATTTATTGTGTAGAGTGTTGGCACACCTCGTGTTGCGCAACATCAATATTCTTTTCCACAAACACCTTTAACACCTACAACGTCAAGATTACCAAATGAACAAAATATCGATGAACTTACAGCATTTTTACAAGACCCAAGCAATATTTATCTAACAGATGATATTACATCTGTAAGTTTTTCGTTATTTTATTCTTTTGAAATATATTCTGTTTTTTTTTATTTAGACACTTCTCGATGATATTGAAGTTTTAGCTGATACATATTTAGGTGGAAGAGCAGGAAATGAACATCAATCAACTATTGACAATAGTTTAGATTATGATATTATTTTAAATTATCTCTGTTCTGATGATCTCATAAGTACGGTGTGTACAAAATAAGAAAACAAAAAATATAAATCTTTCTATATTTTAAATGTGCGATGTTTTATTTGCTTTGTCTGTTTAATTGTATATATAACTATCAAAAACAAAAAGAAAACTTCTTATTTATTGTATATGTGCTAGAGTTTGTCTCTCTCTCTCTCTTTTCTTCTTCTTCTTCTCTTTCTTCATTATGATTATTATTATTATTATTATTAATGTTTTTTTTTCTTGTTGAAGGAGAAATATTTTCGTATTTAATAAAAAATAATTCATGAAGATACGATTTATAGGTTTTTTTAATGGTCTATAGCAAAATATCTATATATTTTTTTCTAGACAATGTCTATTACATTTTTGAATTAGTTTGCAATATGAGATAGATGTTGTCAAGTAAATCTTGAATAATAAAAGTCACGAGCACGAACAGGAGGTGTCTAAGAGATGCACATCCTTTGTCTAATAAAGCAAAAATCTTACAATTACGATGAGAAAAAAACTTATTAGATTATATCTGAAAAAGTTTTCGATTTATGAGCTAAATTTAAACTATTTTTAGATTTTTCTTTCTTAATCTGAGGAGAGAAAAAAAAATTATGATGTCAAACTGTGTCTGACAGTAAGAAAGAGATGTTTTCTGAAAAAGAAAAATTGTAGTTAATAAATGAACCAAATGCTTTCTTCTTTTGTTCATTCATATAAATCAAAAGACAAGATAATTTAATTAAATATCTATATAAAGTAAATCAATTCAACTGTTATTAATTATGTTTTATTTTTAGGTATCTATTTACTTTTGTTTTTAAACTTTGATAACTACATATAAATTATCGTTCTTTTATCTATATATAACGATGTCATTTTTATTGCTCTATAATAAAAATGTTTGTTATTTTTGTCTTTTATGTAGTTAGTCTTGTAGTGATAGCACAACAACCATATCCATGTATAACACCATCACAATGGGAAGCAACTGTTTTTGATAGTAATGAACAAGAAATCATCGTGAACGAATTCTTGAAAAAATTGCTATTGGACATCAAAATAATTCATATGATAGAATTGCATTATTTGATTCTCAAATAGAATATATCTATGATTTCAATGCTCAAAATGGTACACGTCGTTCATTAAATCGACCATAGCGAGATTTTGGTATTCGATCAGATGCTCAATCATATGGTGAAGCTTATGTTGGTACTGCAGTTATACTTGGATTAGGTCTTCTTGTTACTATGTGGTATATATATGTCTTCTGAATTGTTATTAAGTAAATCTTAATCTTATATATGTATAGGGGTGCAAATTATACAACATCATCTAATGATACTATTCGAGATTTTGGATCATGGACTTATCAACATTGTCTTCCAGTTAATCTTATACGATATAGTCAAAAATATGGTAGAACTCAAACAACATTCTTTAATATTATACCCAGTATTAGTAATACAAGTGTATTTATACCTCGAAAAGAATGTCTTACAGAAGAAGAAAAATACTTGTTATATGATAAATCATCGAAGATGACTAATGTATAAACATACTTTTTCTTTTTTGTAAATCTATTTGAATTCAGTTAAATATATTCTATGAAATAGTTTATATTATTCTTCGTCTAGAAATTGTTTATTTCGTTCTTTGTAAATTATATTCAATATGAAAGCACTAACTTTATAACATATCATTTTATCAGTTCGTTTTATAACGATCGACGTCATAATGACTAGACAATATTATGTAACCGAATTATTTTTTTCTTAATACAAGACTAAAAACAAACAGTATAGATTATTATTTTGCTTTATTTCAATGACATTGAATGAGCCATTAGTAAAACGGTTACCACTACCGTTGTATTTCTCATCACGAAATATTTACTTCCCAGGAAATTTCATGATACTCTTTTAATGCACCGCTTTTTTAGCTGAATTATAGAAAAGACTTTCTTCTGCTGCAATATTCTACATTTTATGAACTTTAATTTATAATATAGCTTTCTTTCAATAATTAAAAACAACAGTAGAAATAAATTAGTCGATCGATCTATGAATTAGATTAGTTTTTTATTTAAAAATAATCTCTAAAAAACTAGAATAACTAGGGTGTTAAGGGCTGGACTAGATGATAAAAATAGAAGATGAAAGTTAAAATAATTAAATTTATTTAGCCGATTTGTCACTAAGACCAGTAACACCGGGAAGATCTTTGCCTTCAAGAAGTTCAAGACTGGCACCACCTAAAAACAGAAATTTTTTATTTTAAACAAAAAAGTTGTTTTTGTTTTTACTAACCTCCAGTTGATACATGGCTCATTTGATCTGAAAAACCAAATTTGGCACAAGCTGTAGCTGTATCACCACCGCCAATAATTGTTGAACAATTATTTTTGGTTTGTTCACCAACAACTTTAAGTAATTCTTTTGTTCCATTAGCAAATTGATCTTGTTCAAAAACTCCCATTGGACCATTCCATACGATAGTTTTAGCTTTTTTAATAACTTCAGTAAATTGTTTAATTGATTCTTTACCAATATCAAGACCCATTAAATCATCTTCAATACCATTTTCTTTTGTTGCTTCTTTTGTATCTTTTGATTTAAGATCATTGGCAACAATGAAATCAACTGGGAGATGAATTTCAACATTTTTTGATTTAGCTTTTTCAAGAATTTTTTGAATTGATTTAGCTCCTTCAGTATCATATAATGATTTACCAATTTTCATATTATCTTTTTCTTTAAGAAATGTATATGCCATACCTAGAGAAAAATGATGTATTCTTTTTTCTAAATGAAAAGAATTTTAGTAAACTTACCACCACCAATAATTAAAGCATTAACTTTATCTAAAAGATTTTCAATCAATTGAATTTTATCGGAAACTTTAGCTCCACCGAGGATAGCAAGAAATGGACGTTCTGGATTTTCTAAAACTTTTCCAAAATAATCAAGTTCTTTTTTCATTAAATATCCAGCAGCACGTTGTTCAAGTTTAACACCGACAATTGAACTATGTGCTCGATGTGCTGCACCAAAAGCATCGTTAATATCTACAAAAACGAAATAATGAAATTAATCTTTTCGAATAAAAATAAATCATAACTTACAAACATCACCAAGTTTTGATAAACTTGCACGAAATTTATCAACAGCATCTTTGTCAGCTTTGGTTTTATTTCCTTGTTTATCTTTAACTGAACCTTCTTCTTCAAGATGAAATCGAAGATTTTCAAGTAAAATAACTTGACCATTATCAGCTTCATTAGCTGCTTTTTCAACTTCATCTCCAACACAATCATTTAAAAATTTAACATCTTTACCAAGTAATTTTTGTAATTCTTCAGCAATTGGTTTTAAACTTTCTTTATCAACTCGTTTACCATCGGGACGACCCAAATGTGACATAAGAATAATAGATTTTGCTCCTTTTTCAAGAGCATATTTTATTGTTGGTAATGCACCTTCAATACGTTGTTTATCTTTAACTTGACCGTTTTCTAATGGAACATTGAAATCAACTCGCATTAACACACGTTTACCTTTAAGATCGAGATCTTCAATGCTTAATTTATTACTAATACTAGCTTTGGAATTAGATTCTGCCATTATTAAACTAGACTGTATCGAAAAAGTTGAATAATAATAAGTAAACAAATAATGGGCGCGCCTAATATAGTAATTTTTTTCGTTCTTTCTCTCTCGGTACAACGCAAAATTTCAGGGTCAAGGGAAAACATGGATTAGTAGATTGGTAATGCAGACAGAACGAGAACGATGAAAGAAAAATAGGAGGCCATCACCATTGTTACTAACATGATAATGGCAAAGTTAACTGTATGTGTGCGTTTTAAATAAATTTTCAAAATATAATTATTTTTTTTTTGATGACGAACACATGATATCATAAAAGTGCGTCGATAAAGTAAATTTGAATACAAGTTAAATATTTCAATTGATTTCATTGTTTACATAGTTATGGAGACAAAAAAAGATAATATGATTTTTTTTCAGCTAATGCTTTCCCTAGATATTAACCGAGTCTTGTGTTATTACTGTTTTCTTCTTCATTAAAATATATCATGTCTTAGTTTGATATAGATATATTACAATAAATACTATAAAGTTCTTACAGAACATGATTTATTTTGAAGGACTTGTGGTTTTTAAGGATATCATATAAATTATACAAAATCTACTCATATCTATCGTTAACTGTCATACTCTATTCTTTATTCTTAAACAGTCGCCTATAATAAATCTATGTTTGACTTTTACTTCCACCATGAATCTGAAATCTTCTAATATTCTTTTTAGTATTTAATCTCATAAACTATGGCTACTGCTGACGTGCAAGAATCTCCTTCATTAGGCTTTTCAGTAAAAACACCAAGGTATCAATTAAATTTCATTATATTTTGTTTTTCTTGAATTTTTCTTCTAGATTCCTACCTCGTGGTTTACATCCAGAATTATTAACACGTATTCAATTACAAAGTATACCACATGTTGCTCCTGGTACTCATGATCAGTTACAATATGGTGATTTTAGTGAAAAGAATCTTCAGAAAAAGATTGAAGGACCTAATTGGCAACAAGGATTATATACAGAACAAATGGCCAAAATTCCTCATTCATCATTTAAAGAAACGTATGATAGACGAAAAGAAGATGAACGACGTGTTGGTCCGGGTATTTACAATATTACTGATTTTTTAACTGAACTTGATCAAAAACCTCAATGTGAACGTGGTGCACTTGATCAATTAGCACCTCGATTTCCAAAAGATGAATTAGTATGAAGAAAATTCTTTTTATTCATCAAATTGTTTTTTTAACAAAATAGGATAGAGCACCACCACCTGCTTCATATGGTATTCCTGATAAAAAACTTGTAGAAAAACATTGGCAACAAGGTAGTAATGTTCCTTCATTCGAATGGAGACAAGGACCAAGATCATTACCACTTCAGGTAAACTTAACAAATAAGAAAAACAATTTGTTTTGTTTTTTTGACTTATTTTAGAAATTTTTATTTTAGGGTACAAAATTAGGTCCAGGAACTTATAGTATAAAAAATTCAATTGATGAATTAGTAAATAAACATGTTAGTGAAAAAGGTCCTTATCAAGTTTTTACACTCGATCGTTCAGCACCGATAGCAACTGGCCATTATTCATTATTAGATCAATGGGATTTATCACCTGATTTTCCATCAAAAGATTATCCAGAATCAACATCAAATTTAATTCAAATAGAAAAACGAAAAAAACATGGATTATTTAGTAAATTAGAACGTTTTCAAAAAAAACCTACGGATCGAATATCAATTGAACATCCGGGTAAATATTTCCAAATGAATTTCAACTGATCTTTTTTGTTTTGTTTTCATTAAAGGTCTTGAACCAAAAAATGTTACTTTTCCTGGTCCAGGTGCTTATGCAACAGTTCGTCAATGGGAGGAACATGATTTTCATATGAAAAAAGTTCCATTTAATGGAACATCATCAAGAAATGATAAACGTTCATTTACAAATACTGGTGGTTCAAATGTAATCATAATCATTTTATTTTAAAAATTTTATTAATAATTGAATCTTTATTTTCAGTCCGTAGGTGTTGGACGATATAATCTTCTTGGACCAATCAGAGATGAAACAATAGCTGATAAACGAAAACGACCAAGACGACGAAATATTGGTTTTTCATCAACTGCAAATCGTTTTACATCAGCAAGTGGAGAAGCCTTATTGAAGTAAATTATTTTATCTAAGAAAAAAAATACAATATATGATTTATTCTAGTGAACGTTTACAACCTCAAAATCTTCGAAGCGAACAACGAACACAATTATATCTCACTGGCCACGTCTAATCATAAGTCCATTGCACGCTCATATAATCTTCCATCAAACTTTTTGCATTTTTTTTGTATTTTTTTCCAAGATTCTATTTATAAATTTTTTTATTTCTTTATATTGAATTATAAAAAAAACACAGAATAATTATACTTATTTTTTTTTTCATTAGATAATTTCAATTCTTTTCATGCTTGCCACTGATTGTGCAAAGCCTAGTGATCTTTTGTATGTTCATGATATAACTTTTGTTGTAAAAAATTAACTATTTATTTATTGTTTAGCGATTTTCAGGGTATTCGAAAACGTATTATTCTTGCTCCAGATTATTCTTCGAATGATGAACGATTAAAAAAATTGACAAGTGAAGAAAAAGCGTTGACTGAATATGATGAATTAGATTTAATTGATGAAGAATTTGAATCCTATGTTCATCCAATAGTTGGACAAACTCAATGGATTTCTAATCGACAATATGAACGAAATGAAATCAATCGTCTTGGAGATATTCTCGATTTTTATAATCATAAACCACGATTAAATGCTTTTGAACAACGTTTTATGAAACGAATGGGACGTCAAGATCGTGCAGTTCAAACAGATGATGAAATAGAAAAAATATCAAAATTAAATAAAAATCGAAAAGGTGTACCAGTTATTCGTCTGCCTCCACCAGCAGCCATGGAAACTATTGAAGAATTTCTAACTGAAAATCGTTGGCGTTTATTAGAATTATTTCGTACACTTGATATGAAAAAATCTTGGAATATTGTTAAAGAAGATTTTATGCGTTTAGTTGCAAAGGTAAAATATTTGATAATCTTAAACAAATATTTATATTACGAGATTTTGTTCCTTATTTAGGAGAAACTTCATATGACAGAAGCTGAAGCAGAAGAACTTATGAGATGTTTTTGTGAAGAAGTTTATATACCGATGGATTATAAAAAATTTGCTCGTGGAAGATCTTTATATAAAAAAAGTCTTCGAGGTAAAAATAAAGATAGAATCATTGATTATTATTGTTTAAATTAATAGAAGGTACAGAGAATTCTTCAAATGTATCAGATATTCATATTGAATCAGATACATCAACAACAGTACCATCTTCACTGCATCTGCAATTACCACCAACGAATACATCACATCATTATCCAGTGCAAGATACAACTTCATCATATGTTCGATCAACCAAAGCATCATTTGCAAAATATAAAGTAGATTTTCTTTTATTGTTAATGATTTATATTTATGTAATTCTTTTTATTTTAGCCAAAAATCAATGTTAATATAAGAAATCAAAAATAACTTACAAATACAGTGCTGGCCAAAAATATAAGACCCTCTGACTGTATACAGTTGTTTTGTTGGCTGTTGAACGCTGACGACTTTAGATGAGAGTAACGTCCATGTGACCATATGTATTCGAATATTCGAATGCCTATGGCTATATAGATGTTATTTTTATCTAAAGCCATTACCGCTCAACATTCAGCAAAATACCTGCATTCAGCCAGGGTATCTTCTATTTCTGGGCAGCACTGTAGTTCAATCAAATTGCTTTCTTTTATGTAAATAAACGAATTAGTTATATAAAATATATATTTATATGAATACAGAGAAATATAATTTACTCATATGTTAATCAATGTAAGAATTTAGATTTTTCTCCATGTGTGAAGTTCATTGTCATTCAATGATCACTAATGATTATAGGTGATGAGGAGGGTGTGGATGCGGTTGTTTGATTTTATTCGCATGCTCACTCTTCCCCCTTCCTTTAGATTTAGAGGAGTGCCATACAAAGTTCAATGACGCTTGCTATTACACGAACTAGATGTATAAAGAACAAACAAACAAACGTTCTTCTTGATACATATAGATATAATTTAAACTTCATAAGATTTGCATTTCAGAAATAGCTACAGTAAGGATGTGAAGAACAAGATCATTTGTTTATACTTCACTCTTGGCTATTGATTTTAAATAGAATTACATAATCATCGTTAATTTTTGTATTACAATAGAATAATTTGGTTTAATATACAACACATGATTTTTTATTGAAAAGTTTAGAATATTGTTAAGCATCCATCTTTGCAACATATTTCTTGTAAGTCTATCGCACCTAAGCTGGAACAATACACAGATGACAAAGCAAAAAAAATTTATTTTTGAATCAGATATAATCAAAAGCTTATGAACAATGATTTAATTCCCTCCCCTTTAATCTTAAAAGTTTCGCGACAACGATGTATGTTGTCTAAGTACATATTTTCATATTGCAACATATATACATGAAGAACACAACGTATTTATAGATAAAAGACTGGATATATTGACTATATGCGTATAAATTCATTTATTATTTAGTTCTATTTCGAAATAAAGAAGAAATGTCTGGAACATAAAGGATGCTTCAGAAGCACTGAGAAAGTTTTAAAATTTATTGTTCTAGCACATAATAAAAGTAAATTCTTCCAAACTTTCAGAAGTGAGTGTACATGTGTAGTACTACGTAACTACAAAATTTGATATTTATATCTTTTACTAAAAATGAGTACATGAAAAAAACATTATCATACACTATTTTTTCGATTTTATTATCATCTTGATTATTACTTGTTAATACAATAAACTTAGAAAAAATAAATTATATACATCAAATTATCACGTGCATAAATGAGCACTGGAGGGTCAAAAAAACATTTTTCTTTTCTCTTAAGTTCGTTAATAAAAAAACTCCTCAAAATAGTAATTTTTTTCTCGTTATTACATTCCATTATATGAATTTATGTCGTTGGAAAGTCGAAAAAATAGTATATGATAATGTTTTTTCATGTACTAATTTCTTAACTTCTGAAAGTTTGGAAGAGTTTGCTATTATTATGTGCCAGAATAATAAATTATAAAATTTCATCAGAACTTCTGGAGCATCCCTTATTTCTCTATAGTTTGATAATAAAAAAAGAATTTCATCATAGAAATAAAACTTTTATAAGGACTATGACGTTTCATATTTTTGTTTGCATCGTCATCATGATCAAGGACAAATAAGGTGTATTATTTTGTGTAAAATAAAACAGCAGAAAATTATGAAACTAAGCTTGAAGGAATGTATTTACACTTCATTTAACGTATTTGTTTTTGCATTTATGCATTCCATCATGATGTATGCATTTTCAATTTTGCTGTTATTGCTATTTCTCTTAAAACTTATTTTGTTGACGATATTTTCAAGTTAGGTTGTGCAATTACATATCATGTATACCAACTAATATTTAGCAATGACAGAATCTTTCTCATTAGATACAAATTCTAATTTTAGAATCGAATATTGAGGCAAAATATTTTTGCTCTATTTATTACATTTAATTATATATAATTACTCTTTGGTTAGACCTTTCTAGCGTATAAAGATGTCATTTAATTTTTAATACACACCGATAATTTTCTCATGAATCATCATTTCCATTTTATAAATTTAAAAAAAATGAATAACAGAAACACATTATGTCTACTTGAATGTTATGGAAACTCTTATCAAAACTTCTAGTTTTAGAAAGTGACTGTAATGTGTTCTTTAACGTTAAGTAACTCATGGAATACTAAAACACATTGATAAAAAGCAGAAAACTAATTTTACAATGGAAAAAAATCAAAACTTCAAAGGAGATTTGTGGCAAACTCAGTACTTATTCTATTTCTTTTGAAAGATAAGTATCTTTTGTAATTTCATCATTGTTTGTTATTGAATATAAATTTTTCATTTGTTTCTATCACATTCGGTCAAACATTTTCACTAATGCAACTACAAAGCAAACGATTAAATTCAAGTTTAAAATTCTATTACAGAATGAATAAAACTCTTTGGACAAACATTTTTCACAATGTTTACTCTAGAGCATTTCTTTCGTGAGAAAAACTTTATCTAAGATAACAATAAGTACAAAATCAGTGATAACAATCAATATTGAATATGTGGTTTTTAGTAACTGATTTTTACACGACTAACATTGATATTCGAAATGAAATAATTCATCAAATATAATTTGCGAATAAAAATTTTTTCTATTATGCTAATATGAAAACAGTGAAATACTATTCATCAAAAAATTTCTAATAAAGTATTAACTTCGATTATCAATTAGGATTAAATTTATCGTATATATCATAATAAGAATTCTATAGATGGTAATTTATCAAAGGAGAACAAACAGACTTCTGTACTTGTTTGTACTTCTGGTACGTCTTCGTACTTCTGAAGTACGGAAATCCGCTTGTTTCCTCTTGTAATTTATTTACTTTCTTCATTTTATATATTTTATATGGCATTGACATGTTTTTGTAATATTCATTTTATTATATGTTGGTATTTTTTGAGTTATATTTTTATGGCATATATTTACACTAAATAATATGCGACACTCTAGGAGTTACCATACTGAAAGAAATTTGTTATTTTTAGCTGTGATATATTTTGTTTTCGATTCACAGTTTTTTTTAATCTAATATGAATTTAAAGAAAATGTAAGGTTATTGTTGAACGAGAAGAAATTTGTTTTTGATTAGCGATAATCTTCTCTTATTTTGAGTACTTTTATCGGCATGCACGCAAGCTTTGAACATCATAACCATATAATTTTAAGCTGTAAAATGTGGAATATTTTGTTTATTGATGCAAACAAAAAGGAATTTATTAAATGTTTCTATTCAAATCTGTCTTTTATATTTTTTTAAATATATATCTATGTCGTGATAAAAGAAAAGAAAATGACGCGAAGTCATACCCGTTTGAAACGTTCATAGTCGTAAATAATTTCTTGTTCTTTTCATATATAATGTCAATCAAAATAACAAAATATTGACGTTCATTTTAAAAAATCTCGATTAATGGAATGCTCATATGCTAGCAGAGATATTTGACCGAGACAAAAAATAATATTGAAAATGCAATGTAAGAAAAAAAACAATCTTATGTTGCAATTTTTTTTCGTGCAATATATTGACAGAGAAAGAAAAAGAAATCGGTAATGCTTAGCGAATAACAACATCAACTTAATAGTGACTAAGCAACATTGTTACTTGTTTTTTCTATATTAGCAACTCAGAGACTATTTATGGAGCATCTATATATACTAAGCGTTCTTTTTCGTTCTTTCCGTGCATACTAACGTTACGCTTCAGTTTAAAAGAGAAAGAGAAAGAGGTATTTAAAGACACTTTTTTCCAGCGTGAACAAGATAAGATTTAGTTTATTTTGAAGAGAAAAAAAAAATTTCTAATGGGAACTTGGATTGGCCATATTGCACCAGGTATATTTGAAGGGGATAGAAATCTATATTAGTTTTATTTTTATTTTAGGTGTATTTTTTATTTGTTTTGCTTTTTGGTGGCATATTAATAATTGTAGACGTTATCTAAAATCATTAGCAAGTGAAGAAGATGATGAGAAGACAAAACAACAAAAACAGCTTAAATTTCAAGGTTCAACTACTTATCCTTGTTTCTATTGTCCTAGTAAAACTATTCGTCGTTTACCAATTGAAAGTATCTTAAAAATTCTTATAACATCAATTCATTTTACAATTGAAATTATAACTGGTTGGAATTGGTCTCCAAGAATTCATCTCGGTGATGAAAATGCTCATCATACTGCAATGTTATTTGGTTTTTTTCTTGGTTCATGGGTTGAAATTTTAGTTCATTATAAAGTTCCATTACCAAAACGTACTACTCAAGTAATGGGATTTTTAGCTTTTGCTATAGAAGGTCTTATGATGGTATTTCATTTACATGCACGAAGTATGATAGATGCTCATATACATCAATTACTTGGTTTAACTATTGTTTGTTCCATGATTTTTGCTATTGGAGAATCTTTTGATCCAAATAATTTTTGGTTTATAGTTGCAAGAAGTTTTTTTGCTTTAACACAAGGTACATGGTTTATTCAAGCAGCATTTGTTATATGGCCAAAAACAACAAATCCATATTTTCTTTGGGATCCTGATTCACATCGATCAGTTTCATTATTAACAATGTCATATGCTTATCATTTAGCTGGAAATGCATTTTTATTAATTATTGTATATTTATTAGTCTATATGTTTGTATCACCTTCAATTAAATTAAATGATAATCAAGTAAAAGATGATGAATTAATTGATGAATATAAATTAATTATTAATATTAATGAAGATGATAATGAACTTTGAAGAAATTTTGTTTTGTCAGGAAATAATGAATATCCTTTTGGACTTCATATACTTCGAAATTATTATCTCTAATAACCTTATATCCTAATCTCGATGTTGTTTTCTTAATGTAACGTTTCAGAATATTTATATTTTTCTCAATAAATCTCAGTTATTAATAATAAAAGCAAAAAACTATCATCATACAGTTTATATATATAAGAATTTGATCACTTCTCTAACTTTAATACATTCATATCTTATCGTTACACATTGAACTAATTATTCTTAAAATAGATTACAGACTAGAAAATATTGGAACAACAAGAAATATAATGCCCTTAAGTCAATAATTGATTGCATGACATATGTGTTATTATTTTTACTTCTACAAAAATATAATCTGATTTTTAACTTGTAATTACCATATTATTCTATCACATACGAATTTTTTTTAAATTACATTTATTCTTTTCTTAATTAATAAAATAGAATATATTATATATACTTTATCTTATTAATACAGCTACGTTTTATCATGTACGATTTAAAACCAATTATTAAGAAGACAGTTGTGAATTATATTATTTAATTCAGTCTACCAGTTTTGATTTTTTTCAAATAATAGATGGCGTTGGATATTGATGGATATCTTATCAAAAGGTTTCTGTTGTCATTCACCGTAGTATACTGCTTGGATGTTGCGTATAAATGAAACATGAAAATTACTGAAAACTTTAATCTTCTGTAGGGGTATTCACTTACCACAAACGAAGCAAATGATGATTCAGTCACGTATGATACTCATGCTTAGTGACAGCTGCCCAACCGTCGTGCCAAACGGTATTAGGGACGAGTCTGATCCATTTCGTTTGTTGGTCCTACTAAAATAAAGATTTAAATTATTTATTATAAAACAAATTATATAAGTTAAATTTAAAAGAAAATTATAAATCTATAAGCTTTTTAAGTATCACGAATCATTACAAAAGAAGAAAACGAACGTCTTTATTTTTTCGTATTTCGATAAATAGTTAAATTTTATTTTATATGAATGATATTGCTGTAGAACATAAGAGAAATCTAGTAAATATATAGTAAAGATAATAAGATTCGTTTAATTTCAAAACGATTTGATGTGATTCAAAAAGGCACCTATTTAAGTGTTAAGTAAAAATATATAAATGCTAAGTTGATTCATGCTAAGTAAAATTTGTATATACTCGGTAAATAAGTTGAATGCTCAGTTAAAAAAATAATTCTCAGTAATTAAATTTTTTCTAAGTTCATTAATTAATATATATGTTAAAATTTTAATTACTAGGTAAATTTATGAAATTGTCAGTACAAAAAAATATTTTAGCAATTGAGAAACAAATCTGCTAAGTAAATATAAATGACGGACAAGTCGTTATTTTCCGTTCGTTTCTTTTTAAACACATCACATATACTTGGATTCTTTCGTTCCTGTCCATCATATATATTTGGTTTTTCTTTCTTCCATTCTCTACTTGTCATCTTTTCATATATATATCGTGTTTGTTGAGGTTTATTCCAGCCGTTCTACCTCGATCACCCGATGAATGTTTTCCAAGATTATACGATCCGTTTCCCTATATATAGCCTGTAATTTTTACCAGTAAATCATGTGTGATATAAATATACTGGTATTCACTCTTATCCAACCAACTATCTGAAGTCATTCATCTGACACAAGTTCTATCTACATATACACAATTTGTGAAAAAACTTCAGTTTGGAATATGGAAAACAACTTTGTCTAATATTGAAGCAGAATGGAAAAATGGATTTTGCAATTGTCCAAACTTTTTAAAAGAATATATTTGCAAACATATAGTTGGTATGTCAATTCGATTGGAGTTTTGCAGACCACGTCCAGCAGCAAAGGACGTACCGTTGAAGGGAAAAAGAAAAAGGAGACGATCACGAAAAGCAACCAAAGCATTGCTAATCAATTAACTGTTCAATCAATTTTTTACTTATATATTTTGTATTTATTACTTAACAAAAATTAATTTTTTACTTCGCAAAAAATATTTATTTACTTAGCATCTATAAGTTTTTACTTAGCACTTAAATATATCCCATTCAAAAAAGCATAAACTATCGGTTTTATTTCTAATGATAACTATAGATGAAATCTAATCTTATTTTAAAATATTTATTGTATTACAAGAATACATATCAAGAAGAAGTTTCAATTTAATTTGATAATAATTAGTTTTACATGATTAATATTGTTGTTGAAAGTTCTCGGCAGTACTTGTATTTAATGTTCTCAATTTTTATACCTTTGACGTATATTAAAATGTGCGAAATGAGGAAATAAATTAGAGTTGAGAATAATAATAAAAAAAGAAATAATGTGTGCACAACTACAACATAATTTCATCTTTCTCATCGATCTTTTTATTGTAATATAAAGTATGTACGAATGATGACAAACTGTAACACGTTTTTGTAATAGGTAACGTAACATGTTTATTCGAGCGTGTTATACAAAAGCAAATTCAGTAAAGACAAATTTGTTTTATCATGTAAAATCTAATTCAAATCAAAATTTTTCATCATGAGAAATTATCAATAACATTGATAAAAAAAGAAGATTTTTATTAAAATTTGTTTTATTTAACGATATAATCACTTCTACATAACATTAAATGTATCAATAAAAGTATTTAGAGAACTAAAATGTCAGAATAAATAAAAAGGAAAATCGACATGCAAATAAGATTTTTAACTAAAATCTGTGTTTTCGTTATTTTTTATTTTATTTAAAAAATAGCTCGATGCTTTTTTCTACAGTAAATATTTTTTTCATCGGTACTCAAATAAACAGGTCAGTCAAGCGTAAAATAAAGCGAAGTAATGATATCTACAAACGTATTCATATGTAACACGTGTAAAAAAATTTTTTGTTATGAGGCGTCCTTCGAAACAACAATCATTTTTTTGGCTTTGGTGGCGTCGAAAATCATTTTATCTACGAACACGACCTCTCAAATGGTTTATAGTCCTAGTTTTTGCTATTAGTTTTATAATTATCATATCACCCAATCCATTTTCTTCTGACTATGATAAAATATCACTTAATCAAGAAATACAATGGGATAGTGTTGCTGAAATTCTACAATTAAAAGAACAAGTAGATATTTGATTAAATAATTCTAAATATTTAAATATACTATTCTAGATACTTAACAATGATTCTGTATCAAAACAAACCAAAGTAATACAACATGGAAGTGAAGAAAAATCAACTTCAAAACAGATCGTTATTCTTCTTTATACAACAATTTTTCTTTATAAAAAAAATTGTCGTACGGAAGCTGAACGTATATTTGGTAAAACTTGCCCGTCAAAAAATCGCTGTAAATGGATATGTGATAATCGAAAACTTAAAGAAGCTGATGCTATTATTTTTCATGCATATGACATGCAATTTTATCCAGATAGTATACCACAACGATCAGATACGAAACCGGATTCTATATGGATTTTATGGTCAGATGAACCACATACAATAGTTGATTATGTTCTATTCAATTCCTTAAAATTTAATTGGACAATAAGTTTTAAAATGAATAGTGAAGTTTCGATTGGATCTTATGGTTTATTTACTAAACGAGAATTTTCAAGATCTACTTCTGATTATAATCTTTGGATTGATACACAATTTCGTGAGAGATCAAATGGTGCACTATGGTTTGTATCAAATTGCAATGCCCGTGAACGT